TTTTTTTCTCCTTCTTGAATTTTATTTATCGAGTTTGTTTTCTACCCAGCGACACAGCTTTTGCACTCTTGATAAGTATCCCTGCTCTGAAACGTAATGTTTTTTTGTTTTTTTTTTTATTCCAGGTTCTTCCCTCTAAAAAAAAAGTCTGTGCGTCTACTTTCACGCACAACACTCGGAGAACCAATCAGCGCAACTTACGGAGGCAGCTCAGCGAATGACGATGCCGAAACATATGTTTAGACCAAAAAACGCAGACTGAGTTGTGACATTAAGCAATGCAAGGTTGAGGTTTTGTATTGCTTAATGTCACAACTCAGACTGCGTTGTTTGGTCTAAACATATTTTTCGGCATCGTCATTCGCTGAGCTGCCTCCGTAAGTTGAGCTGATTGGTTCTCCGAGTGTTGTGCGTGAAAGTAGACGCACAAACTTTTTTTAGAGTGTTGTAGCCGGGAACTGTTGAGTTACTATGCTCGCCGTCGTTTAAATAAGTACATAAAATATATATATCAGCTCAGGAATAAATACTCCCATTGCGAAATAAACTGACCTTTGTGGGGAAAATGTATTCAAAGCTGCACTCTAAGCCGGCAGCACCGCAGTAGAAATTGAAAAAAGAAAACAGTTTACTTAACTTCAGTTGCATCTTCTTTGAGAGGAATCTATGCAAAGTTAGAACGATCATGTGTACTTAGTATAGTTAGTATAAGTAAAATTATTTCGCACGTACTGAGTGTCCATATTTGCTCTTACCGACATCATGACACCACAACCCTGAAACAAAAAACAAAACAAAACAAAAATTTGGATTCTTTTTAGATCCAATAATAAGATTTATTTTATTTGCATAAATGTAGCTCGATAATACGAGTATTGATTCGTTACCACTAGATGTATTTTAAACATGGCAGACCGGTTGATCAATCTTTTCGACTGCTAAAAACAACGCGTAGGAATAACTGTAAATCTAGCAGTTAAATTAACAACGTCTTATTGGGGCAAGCCCTGCCGTACTAGAACAAAAACAGCGTCATTTCTTAGTTAAGGAGAAAAGCTGTATTTAATTTTACTTTCGCGTTCAGATTTGCTTGTAATATGGCAATACGTAACTGATAACCGAAGTGGAAGGTAGAAGGAAAATTTAACGCTCTGATTTTCACAGAAGAGCACCGCTTCTTGCTTTTGTTAAGCTTGGTAGAAATCCTTCTTCCTCGATGATTTATTTATTAACATGAAAAACAGAAGGACAAACAAAGCATCGTATTTTACACGGAAAATGTTTCATTTATATGACATTTCAAAACCGGAGTGATTGAAATCATGACTTCAATCACTGATTCAAATAATAATCTTGATTTTGATTCTTCATCCTTCCTGAAACTGAGAATGGACGAGTTTTCGCACGCTCTCGCGTGTCGCCCCTTTCGTTAAAACTACACGACTGTTCTAATGATGGAGCGAGACTTGAACGGGGCTTCACTTTGGCCAAGGTGCATCGTTTTCCTCTGCCGAGGTTGACCAGCCTAGTTGACTCGTCTTCTGTGAGAACGGGCCGAAAAGGAACGCGCTGCGGGAACCAGTGATGAGTGAATGTTGTAACCGATCGGAAGAGCCCACCGTTTGGGGAGAAAACCCGAACGCCTAAGAACTTTCGCTGAATGTATTCAACAACCCCTTTGTCACAAAACAAAGTTGTTGTTGTTGTTGTTTTTATGGAGGCATGTTTTTATTGTTATATAAATTCCGACCTCATGAAGAAAAGGGGAGGATGGGACTAGGGTAGGAGTTAAGCATCACCGTATACGGCGGCACATAATATTGCCTGTACCTACTATTGATTCTAATGGCAATCCGCGTCGACGTGGCACATGTTTCTAAAGCGAACATGGTCACTTTTCACCCCAAGAGTAGGTCGTTTGCGCGTGCATGTGCCTGTGTGTGCGTGTGTGAAATTAGACAGTATATGAAATATATTTTAAAAGTATACGTTATAAAGGCCGCATCATATACACATATTTAATCACTGTCAAATTCGTTGAGAAGGTTCGCGGCTCAGGCGACATTCTTTTTTCAAACACGGTTCGTGAGGAAGAAAAAAAAAACAACTGAAGCTTGAAAGGGAGAACCGAAGATTGGAGTACCCGACGGATGAGTGTGAATTTGTTTTTCTCCAAATAAGAAGAGGGCGCGTCAATCTTTACAACACCAGAAAGTTTTATGTAACACTCAACAGAAAAAGAAACGCACGAAAACAGCTTCAGGTTTGCATAATTTTATATCGCATACTTGCGCGGCTAGCTTTTTTTTATTATTTTTTGACGATTTTATGATTATTTTAATTTGTTGGTTAACACCGGCGTGTTTTGTAATTGACTCGCGAAAAAAATGATCCGACTGGGAACTTACCAGTCACTCCATAGCGGAAGTTGCTCGGAAATTTGGTTCAATTTGGTATCGCTTTCTGCATGCTTCGTATTTTGTTACGAGTGCAAACACCAGCTAACATTTAGCTACGGGCATGAAGAGTTTCACTTGTGTAACTCTGTCAAGGTTTTGACAGAACCTGCAACGTTTGTTTGAGAGTAGCTTATTTTCATTTCGAAAGTACACATTTAGTCAGCTTTATGATGATAGTCTACTAGTGCCTAATTCACATGGAGTGATTTTACATGCGATTTCGCAGTTGCGACGTCGCTAGTGCGGCACAAAAAGTGTGGTGGAAGCTGCGGCGCTTAACGCCGCAGCAGCAAAATCGAAATCGCACCATGTGAACCAGGTGTGAGCCAGATTATGCCACAAACATTATTTTTGCTGTAAGTTTTCATTAACCTTTAACTAAAAAAAAAATGACAGCCCTCCAACAAGCATTTTCAACAAATATTTTTCGGCATCCCTAATTTGTTCCCCTCCCAGAACTGGCTACTTTTGAAACCGTCTTTGAACACACAAGTCACTGTGAGACAGAGGCGATGTTACCTTGGCTTCTTCTCTCGGCCTTTTTTTTTTTATTATTATTATTCCCATTTTTAAATATTTATAAAGCCAGCCGATTTTCCCATATAATCGGAAGAATACGTTTTTGTTGAAGAAAAACAAAGCAAAGAAAAACAGTCAGATTCCTCCACAGATTTTCCGCATAAAATATTATTATATTTGCCACAGCAAGAAACACATCTAAACTTTATACTTTTTTTTCTCTTCTGTCAAACTTGGTTTAAGGTATCCTTTTTACTCATTAACAAGCATCAAAGAGAATTTATCGATGAGCTGTAATCTCCCGCGACTTGAAACTTTAAGCTCGCGTAGACCGGTGGCAATCAGTTCATTGAACGACGTTTAATGGACAGATCGTTTCATCGACACACGATCTTTTATCGACAGATTGTTTTATCTACAAATCGTTTCATCGACAGCTCAGATTAGCTTCTTTCTGTAATAATTGCTGCATGAGACTGTCGCCGCGAGGCGACGGGTACGGGTCGGTCAGGTGGTTTAACATTTTTCTAATGAGCCGCCGCAGACTGTAGCCCCAAAGCGGCGTGAACGCAGGCCCGGGAGCGGGGGGGGGGGGGGGGGGGGGGGGGGGAGGGGAGGCGGGTTGAGGTTACAGCACACCCTAGTTATACACGCGTGCATCTCACTACGGCATGCAATTCGCTTAACGAGTGTCGATGAAAAGTTCGTGTCGACGAAACCTGTGTTTTTGAAACGCGTGTCCATGAACAATTGTCCACGAAACGAGTTTCGACGAAACGATAAGCACCCTGCTTAAACGCCTATGGTTATGAAGCCTCTAATTCTTAGAGTCCGTGTGACTAGTTCTTGTTCCTTTTAATATCGGGAAGTGCGCGTTCCTCGGCATCCGTTGGCAGCGGTGTTACCGGACTCCTGCGCAGCCGTAAGGGAGCTTAACATTCAGAGGACGTAGCTTGTTCGAAAACCGTCTGGCAAAATTGAATGCCAGGTTATCTCTCATCGCTAGTAGCGCACTGTAAGGAGTGAACGTCTCTCGAATATTCTTGGGAGAAACACGCAGGCCCGAATGAACTCGACTAAAAATGTAATTTAGAATTGGAGATAATCAACTGACGTTCAGTCCTCCCCATTTCATGACCTCTCGGTGGGATAAATAGTGATCAACTGAAGGCCGAAGGCCGAATGTCGTTTCTCAGTGTCGTCCTAAGACCCACGAGAGCCTTGCAGGATATTTCGTAGCAGTTTAAGGAAGTCACCTCATTCTTGGATAACGGCTGTGAATATTAGCGTAAAACGTCACTCAACTTGCCATTGGCATTACGCCATTCAACGTGCGCTGTAAAGCGTCACTCAACGGGCGCTGTGGCATTACGCAATGCAAGCATGACGCTTTGCATTGCGTAATGCCACAACGCCGCCTTCATTTGTAGGTCTAAACAGATGTTCCGCCTCACCATTCGCTGAACTGATATCCTATATCGCAATGGTTGGCTCTTTGAGTGTTTTGCGGGTAAGTAGACGCGCAGGCATTTCTTAGAGTGCTGCCTTTGAGCGTGCTTTGACTGCACGTGCACGCTGGAGGCTCGCGAGACGCCGAAGCGTTCTCGGAGCTAGAGAGTTAAAGGCGGGACAACTGAAGCGCCTCCCTGACGTCATCATGCTGTCGGTGACTAGAGGTACGCTCAGTGATCCCCATGTCAGGTTCGGAACAACTTCACTACTCCGCGTGGTCGTGATGGGCTCGTGGTGTGCACTTGGCTCGCTGGTTCAGACGTTCTTGTTCGAGCATGACCGGGCTGCGTCACGTCCGCTTTAGGGCTGTTTATGACATGGCGTGTGCTATGGCAACCGATGTCCGCGCAGTGCGACTGCTTACGTTCCGCAAGCAGTCGCAACACAGTCGGTAATACTGGCGTGCAAATGTCTGAACCATCCTTCACTTGTATGCCGAAGCAAGCGTTGCATCTCCTTGGAATCCGAAAGACGCGTGTTCTCAGAGCGCACCCGGTCGGCGACGTGCAGAAAGCCACAAGAACATGGTGTCACTCTACGGCATGGAGAGGGTCATCGTGTACAAGGAGGAGCTCGAGAAGCTGCAGACGCTGCTCCACTTTCCCGAAGAGATGGCGCTGCGGCTGACGAACGTGGAGTACGAGCTGTTCTACAGCGTGGATCCCGTGCACTACATCCGCCAAGTGACCGTCGACCTGAGCGGAAAGGCGGGCGCCGCCATCCCCAAGGGTCACGAAAACACGGTGCAGACACTCATCGCCCGCTTCAATGAAGTGAGCTCCTCGCTATTGCCGGCCGCTTTCGCTGCCCTTGGCCGAAGTATGCTGGTGCGGAGAGACCCGTGTGTACATAAGTCACAAAGGAGTGGATAACTTTGAATAAAAAATAAGTGCCTAAAATCAATTGCAAAGAAGAAAAAACTGCACAAGAAGTGAATTTTTAGAGAGAAAGGACGTCACCACGCCACTCAGTATCAACGTTACTAGATTAGGTCAGTTGTGGAACTCCTTCCGGAAGTGGCTACCCCCCCTCCCCCTCTCTCACTTCAATCCGCCTCCCGTAAGGCCCGTAACCTCCCGTCGTTTGAAGCGCCATTTATATTTTTGTTTCATACCTGTCTGTTCCATAGAGTGCGGTGGACGCCATCTAGACGATGTGCTTCGAAACGCACGTATTCTATAAAATACACACAGTTACCATGGCATCTGTCCGGCGTGTCGAACGACGGGAGGCGAGTTGTGGTAAGTGATGGGGGTTACTGGCTCGTGCAAGCAATGTATGAGCAGTTCCGTAACTGAGCTAAGTTAATAACGTTACTCAGTACGAACGCACCAATGTTCTCTGATGTCACGAGTAGGGAGGAGCATCCGTTCGTGGCCTTACTTTCAAGATTGGTGTCCACAATAACGATGTTCCGCCGAATCCCGAATGCGCCTCTGTGCATTGAGGAGATTATTATCATTGTTGTTGTTGTTGTTTTCGTTGACGTTGTCGTTGTCGTTGTTGTTGTTGTTGCTTTGCCGGGGAGGGGGGAGGACAAAGCCTCTCTGGCCGTTTTTATATTGTAACGTACATACTATAGTGAAGCGCCTTTCTCTCCAATCGGTATGAAAGGATTGTCCTTCCGATTTAAATCGTATAGTAATCTCGGAGACCTTAATCGCGACAGGGTGTCGCTAATTATGACTAATGGCTCCCCAGGACCAATATAATTACTTCTCTTCCAAATACGAGCATTATTGTTCGAACGCACTGTGTCTTATTTTTTTTTTTTTAACTCTTCATTTTTGTTCTTTCGCAAACTCACCTAGGTGAGCTCGTGGGTCACGCATATCATCATCTCTCAACCAACGCACGACGACCGCAAAGCCGTCCTGTCCTGCATTCTCCGGATAGCCATGTCCTGTTGGAACATTGGGAACTTCAACGCAGCGATGGAAATCCTCGCAGGACTAAAGCAAGTCATTCGTCTTCACTTTGCCCTACACATCAGGGTCAAACTGCATGTCCTGTCACGGTGATCCAAATTTTCATTCTGTCTTACTTGTTTTGATAACGATTTATTTTATCAACTCTGTCAGAATAAGACAACGTCGTTGAAGAATCATTTCAGATTGTTGCATAACTAACCCATTAGAGTTAAACAAAATAATTACGCACGCTGAGTGTATCCTCTCTGCTTAAATTGCCAACTCGATGATGGGCAGCTTAAACGGCAGTACACTAGCTGTAGACCCGATAACAGGTGACATACACGAGTCTACAACGCGATCAAACGGTATTCAGGCAAGCGGAGTGCAATCTACCTAATTAATTAATATAAAAAGAACACCTCGCAACTGCGATTTAATATTTTCTTTTTTTAGTTTCGATTGATTCTGCTAGCACAGAAATTGAGTCCAATAATGAAGCGAAGTTAATGGCGTTCAGTTGTAGCTGTCTTTTGTGCATGGTGCAACACCACTGCAATGACCCTGCCGCGTTAGGAGAGGGGGCTACTCTTTGTAAACTGTCTGACCTCACAAAGAGCAACCCACCCTCCGTCTGAGTGAGTGTTCCCGTTCCGCCGATTCCTTTTTGGGCGCCACAGCTGCCCAAGATTTCTCTACACTTCTGAGCTTTACCCCTGACAACGTACTCACATAAAGCTTTTATTAATATTTTTATACGCTAATGGTTCAGGTAATAACAACCCCTTGTAGATAACAGGGTTAGAGGGCTGAGCTTTCTTTTTCACCTAAAGAGGCAAATAGGGGGAACGAATGTGCCCACCTCAAACATAAGATCTGCGCTCGGACACGAGCTAAGAACGCGCCAAATAAACCCCACACATACCACCCACGACATCAAATCTGTCTGCGGACCAACCACGAAAGGCGGTAGCTATGACGAGTTATATGACGTCGGGCGTGACGTGCGCCTCGGTAGTGGACTACATGCGCATTGCGGAGGAGGAGCAGTGGCTGGCGCTAATGAGGGTGTGGGAAGAGCTTCTGGCGAATTCTTAACTTGTATCTCACTATAGGTTCGCGGCATGTAGAATGTCTTTCTCAGCGTTGCAGCGTAGCTCCTTGCATTGTAGCGTAGGTGCGTTGTCCTATACTTCGTCTCAGCTTAAGTCCAGACGAAACCGACGCTACGAGCTGATGAAACCAATCAGACAGCATCAAAAGCGCACCGTCATGGTATTCGTCATGTGTCTGTGCGTGTCATATCGTCGCTGAACCAATCATAAACAGAAAAGGCCCAGTGACGAGTTTTCAACGCTGCTTCATTGGTACCATTAGCTCGTAGCCTTGGTTGCGTCTGGACTTAAGCTGAACTTCAGCTGTCTTTTGCACGCTTATTTGGGCCAAGTTATTTTCCTCATTCGGGCCTAGTTACTTTCCACACTCATTGGCTTATTATTGATTGGCGTTGATCGCACCTGACGAAAAGTTGTAGTCGACAGCGCTCTGTGCTTTGTGATCTGTTGATGATCTCTAAATAATTTGCACCTTGTTGATCATATTCTCAGAACGTCGGGTTAACTAACAATTGGTCCGATTAATCCGTGCCAATCATAGTCTTGGCTGCACCTTTGCTGTCTTAGCTCTCAATTTCTGCTAACCCGCAAATAATGACATAGTAGTCCTTTAATGCACACTATGGGCACTATGCATCCGCTAGAAGCCGTTACCGATCGCCCAGCGAACAGCGCCGCGCGCGGCCACTTTTCAGTCAGCGTATACGGAAAGCGGTGGAGCCCCGCCGCCGCTCACGCTGCTTCAGCGCTTCCGCCAATGTGGTAGCCCAAGCAGGCATGTCGACCTTGCAACACCCACCGGTGGACCACTGCATTCGAGCTGCGACTACCGAGGTCACTTCCCGATGAGTACGCATGACGCCGCCGCAACAGGCGCGCGTGTCAGCACTGAGTTAGATCTGCAGGGTGCCATAGCCTGTTGCAACGACCAACTACAGGAGGGGCTCCACTCCCTAATCCTCATACAGAAAAGGCGTTAATGCGTCAATCAGCGAAGACGCACCATTTTGCTGACGTCACGTAGGGTAAGGAGAGCCCACCCGAGTACCCTTCTCTTTTAACATTGCGCTGGAAAACCCAAAGCTCCGCCTAACGCCCCATACGAAACATGAATCCTATTGCTGCTCGCAAATCCTGAGCTCATGACAACGCTGGAAACTAGTGAACCCTAATAGTTATTTGATTCATTCCGCCTTTGTTTTTTTACGAGAACGATCATTATTTCGTGAGATATCTTAGGCTTTCACAATTGGTTCAACTGATCAGAACCGAACGAAGGGCACCTGCTCAGTGTGCATCGGAATTGAGCGAGAGTGCGTTCAGGACTGTTTGGTGAGTCAAACGCAGCAACGCTCTCAAAAAAAGCTAGCGTGCTACGGAGAGCGGTCAAAATTTTTGTGATTGCTGTCATCGGAAGGGCTCCAGCTAACCTCGTGCCGTAGAAAGCGTCGGCAACGAAATACGATCTGCTCTACTACGCTCAGAGCAGACGATCAGATCGCATTGTTGGGACAAATCGTTATACCCCTCTCCCCCACTTTACTACTTATTTCACTGAAATCAGTTACTGGACCTCAATGCAGTCTGAAGGGAGAGAGGGAGGTAGATACACTGACCGCTTCCATGGTTAATTTCACCTGCCTTATATTCAATTTCCGTCAGACGGAAGAGAGATGCACCCACGTGCTTGTTCAGGCCAATTCATTCGAGTGTTGGCCATGCACCAGGTTAGTGTACTTACTTTGATATTTACTTGAGGAGCAAGTCAACCAATACACGTCTCTCCGCGCATGAGAGAGGTGGACAGGAAGAAATAGAGAGAGAAGAATTGATCACGTGTGTGACCAAGCTCCGCCCCAGTAGACTACGGTTGTTTAAAAACCTACTCGAATGAATCCATGTTACTTCGGCGGGTCATGTCACGTGACAACGCAGATAGAGCGACGCTGAACGCGGGTAGATTTTTGAACGCCAAGCTACAAAACCTACCCAGAGTGAGATCGAGCAAATTTTGGATCATGGCCTCCATTCTCTTCGGTAAGTAAATAACCGACAACTCAACCGTGAGTTTTTTTTGTTTTTTTTTTAGCCGACTAAACTTTACACAGTCGCGGCTCATATGAAGGTGAATACGCGATCGCCAACTGCTCAGTACTGAGCGTTATGAAACGGCAGTCGTGGCGGCGTGTGTGTTCGCTTTGCGAACCGAGCGTGACACGGCGCCGGTGTTCCATGGCGCTGCCCGAAGCGGTCAACGATCGCGTGTTTACCTACACATGAATTCCGACTGTGCCCATTGCTACGACCAGCACATGACGTCGTAGACAGGCGACTGGGCGCTCGGCGCCCTGGCGCAACAGCAACCCCTGTACAAAGACCAGAACTTCCGCCTAGCTTAGTGTCTATACTGTCATGTTCTAATAAGAGCTTGGCGCTAGGAAGTTCAATCGTTGTGTCTAACCACTATATCTTCCTACCAAAGTGCGACTCACTGACGGGAGGACCCTCTGCGCATGTAGTAGGCGAACTTGCTCGAGGTATAGTCACGCGGCCCAAGGCCATCGGCTAATTGTTTCAGCGACTACATCACGTCCACTGAGCTATCAAATTAGGAGGGAACGAAGTCTAGCCGCCTCTTTTTAGAGACATGCTGTGGTATTACTCTTTATACGGCGTCGACTCATCTGCTACATTGGCGGTTGCTGCGCACGTCTGCAGGTCTGAGAAGCTCAAGCCGTTCTGGCTTTCCCTTTCGGACAAGGACCAGCTGCCCGTTTTGGATTTTTTGAGTCAGGCCCTGCTGAATCCTGAGCCCTCCAAGGAATACCGGGAAGCCGTGCAGCGGGCGCTCAACATTCCGCACTCCAAGGTGGTGCCTTTCTTCGGAACCTTCCTCCGAGAACTGCGGGCCATCCTCCAAGGCATGCCCAGCCTCATTGTCCTGCCCTCGGAAGGGGCCAGGAGCATCGAGGTGAGGGTCGGCGACGTGCCCTGTTATACGGACATCAATCGAATTATACGTATTCCCGTGTCATGCTCTACTCCGCACACATAGCGTGCGGGGGCTTCGTGGTCTAGCTATAGCAGTGCAAATATCAGTGCTGAGCAACTTAAAAAAAAAGGGGTGGGGGGATAAGTGGTTATTGCAATTTGGAGCACGTGGAGCGAAGGCTTTCCTGACGTGATCTCCGCCCCGCCTGTTCCAATACAGATAAGAATCGTGCCGGTATGTGGGCGTGTAGTAATCACAGTGATGTCTCGTTAATATCGACACCTCTGTTCCGCTAAAAAATCGTCTATAATGTTAGTTGTCCATTCTAACAAGACAAAAATGCATGTATTTTCGAAATTTTTCCCCTAAAATTGTGTCCACATAGCGGGGTATCCATATTAATGGGACATGACTGTATCACTATATTTTGACGACAGGTTATTACTCTTGAATTTTAACAAGCGTGCTGGGCAATAATATATGGAATTTAGTTAGCGAGTTGACTATTCATTCAAATAATGCATTATCCCGCTAATAATCATGTTGCCATCGTGCCCTGCCGTCCGCCGCCGCGATTAACGATATCAACCCGAAAAATAAAATAGTTCTTCATCTCAAGAGCCTTCCATTTCGAAATGTTTTAAGTCTACCAACATTAATTACTGCGGTACTTTTACAAAACCATGCATTCTGATCACCACCTCTTGTAGGCACCAAGAAGCTTAGCTCTCGCGACACAGGTAACATTATTTTCTTCGGAACCGGATAGACCGATCTCACCAAGCATTCGGCGCATGCGTGACACCGCCATAACTTTAGTTCACAGCAGGCAGGCGGCACCAACGTTCTTGCATCTCTCAATTGACAAGCTCCACGAATAAACGGCGCTCGAAATCGGTTCTTCTCTGTTGCCTGCACGCGAGCAGGTGCGGACGTATATTAGGCGGAGCGCGTTTTTGGCGCCACCGGCGTCAACACCTCCCTGGACAACCAAGAAGGACGATGAGACTGCAGCCAATGCCACAAGCACGAGAGCTCGAGGTCGCTACTTTGAAGCGCTTGTGGTTACCAGTCAGGTGGTACTCAACATATTTTTATACACAGTACAAACACGAAAACCTAGTGCTCGGCAAGTCTTCATTCACCCTGCTCTCGCCCAGTCCACAGGCAGCTGAAGTCTGCGCTCCGAGCAGAGCAACTCCCTGACGCGTGGGTCGACAACTTACCGGTTGTGTTGCTCTGACTACGTTCAACTCTAAAGCAAGATTTGGGTTGTACCGTCGCAGACACATTATCACGTCCGGGTCACCAGATATTACCAGTCAAGCGGCACTCAACATATTTTTATATACAATATTTGCAAGAAAACCGAAACAGTAGAAAGCATCGTCCGATCTAGCCGCCGGTCCGCTCGGTCGCCGAATCGCAAAGCTCGTGTCTCGTGCTCTCCTCTCGTGCGCCTCGGCTTCTTTTCTTTCGCTCCAGTGGTACAGCTGGCACTGCTGCTACACGCTCTTCAGCAAAACAAGCACTCGCGCTAGAAATGCACATCTGAAAGCCAGGAGCGCGGGCTAGCTCGGGCGTCTAGATTTGGCTGCAGTCTCGGCTTATAGGTGTCATGAAATGATATCGGACTGGAACGTTCATGGCTTTACAGAGGCGTACTGGTCCTAGTCTGGCCCAAGTACACTCCAACGGACCGCCACTGCTCCAGAAGCTTCTTGGTCGCGGTGAAATTGCGAGGATAAAAGGGGGCTGTCTTTCAATCTTGCCTTCGCAATGCGTGATGACGTAATTGCGGGATTGAAACCACCCGCCCCATTGCTGTGGAGAGCGGCTCATGGATTGGTCACGAGAACTAAGTGAGCGCTCAACTTCGGCTCGTAAGAATCAATGCCTCGGCGGATACTTAGGACGTGGCTCGTGTCCAACCGCTGCGGTGATGAGAAGAGCCGAACTCTAACGATGCGTAAATCTCAGCACGCGTTTTCTACTTTGCCGACCCCAGCGCGTGGCTCTGATTGACGTTGGCGGCATAGGATAGGCACCAAGTCACGTGGCCGCTTGCTCTGGCTCCGTGTTGAGGGCAAATACTTTACTAGGGGAATACAGGACACTCCCCGAGAATACATCTAAATAGACGACAGCGACGATCTGAGGAAACACGCGTGACGGCGCAGCGGTACCGTCTTCGCATCCGTGACCCCGTCAACAGCACCGCATTCCGAGGCGTCGCCTTCACGTGCTCTGGCGGCGAGAGGAGGCGGGTGGAGGAGAGAGGCGTCGCTAAATAAACCAGTCCACCAGGGTTGGTTTATGGCGCTGCAGTCGTTCTGTCTAATGCAAATGAGGAGAGTGCCATGTACTTTTTCAGTAACGTATTTGTAAAGGGGATAAATGATGTTCATATTTCTCGAATTTATTTGCCGACTGCCATTGCTTGAAAGAAAACACTAAGGCAAGGTTATTCGGTGATTAACGTTAGGGAGTGATTCAGAGTAGCATTTATCGAAAGTAGAAAAATCGTTTCATGATCAAAGTGAACAGTGTTTGGTTGTATGGCCCGTGATTTGCTCATTTTCCGAAGCGACGAACATGCGCATGCTGGGCTGAGGAGATCGCACGCTGAGCTGAGGACTTGTAAATATTGGAATGGTGTATACATCTTTCCTTAAAAGCGTATGACGGCGCTTTCATTGCCGTGTTCGTGTGTTATGCTCGCGCACTTTCTGGCTGGCCGCCAATGCGAACGAGCGCTGGCTGGACTGTGATTGAACACGCGTAGACTGATTTTTTGAAACCGTGGAAACGTGCATTGTAACGTTGGGCAGCACCGCACGACTCGGCTCGTGCCGTCTCGTGCTCTGCACGCGTAGAGCTGCAGCAAGGTTGTCGCACGTGCAGAAATACTAAAGTTCCCTGATGCATTGCGGCAGTGGTGGCATAGCATAACTGGCTGGTGAGATCGGTCTATAGACCACTTCAAAAATTACGCCCTCTTACTTTCGATTTAAAAATACTGCACAGTGGCGTGCGCAAAAAAAGGAAAACAAGTTGCAAAGTCTATAACTGGTATTATACTCACTTCCAAGAGGCTATAAAATTGGTAGACTTGTCATTTTTGTGGTGCCTTTTGCGCAAGCCACTGTGCAGAATTTTCAGATACTAGACTATAAGAAGTCGTAATTTTCACAGAGGTTCATTGCATTGTAATTCCCCTTCACAACGCTTAATGTTGCCTGGCTGTGTCTTTGTCACGCAGTTCGTGGCCGATTATCACGGAGAAGACCATTTTATGACGCGGATTGGAGTAGGGGGCATCATCAATGTTGAGAAGATGGACGAAGCTCACCGCGTCCTGGACGAGATCAAAGCCTTCCATCATCATCACAAATGCAGAAAGCACGCCACGGCACAAGTGGCTATCAACAGCCAAGAAGCCAGGTACGCTCTCAGCCCTCCCAGAAACGGATATGTCTTGCCATCACCAGCAGCCGAGGCGTGCACGCCGTTGTCAGGGGAACCATGAAATCATTTTCTATTTGAGCTTGACCTAGTTGGTCAAGCTCAAATAGTCACCATCGCTGTCTACGTTGCTGTTTTCCGCAGAGAGCGCGTTTCTACATTTCTCCCCGTTAGATTTGTTATCTTGGCGTGACCCGTCACTCGCGTCATGGACCACATGCCACATGTCTACGAGCACGTACAGTGTGAGCTTTAACATACATTTGACAGGCTTTCAATTGCACGTGCTTGCCGACACGAGCAGAGACATTGCGTCGGCCAGAGACACTGCTGGCAATTTTGTATATTATGTCGTCACGGCGATATTAACTCCCCTCGCTAATCAGCTAAAATAAATCTCAGTCGAGCCCCAATTTCGAAAAAAATATACGAAATACATGTAGAATGAGAGCACCTAAAAACTCTGAAGAATGCGGAACTCTGCTCTAAAACAGCGCACCGGAAGGAAATATGAAATAAACATAATAAAGAAACGAAGCCAATAGGTATACTGTAATTAACATAGGCTGTCTTGCCACACAGTATAGGAAGTATTCATTGGACGCCATATTTGAGGGCGACGTTTAGAGCGCATGCTCAGTACGAGCTCACACTTATTGCCTGCTAAGACCGGCAATCTTGATGGTGTTGAATGCACGTTGCAAAAGAACTGCGGAACTCGCCATCAGCACGCGCTCAGCAGCCGCCCACTCAATGGTGTAAGATCGCAGTAACTCACCTGAGTTGCAGGATACCTCAGTTAAAACCTGTTTCATCTCGCTTCCTTTCTCTTTCATCTTCTGTATCTTTCCTTTCCCATGTGATTCGGTACTTTGTAATTCATCTATATCCCAGGTGGCAGGTTCGAATCCCGACCGAGGGGCCCGCAATATGACGGAGGCTTATTGCGGAGAAGGCGCCGTGTAACCGAACTTTCGGTTGCACGTCAAAAGATCCCCAGGTGGTCGAAATTAATCCTCAGTCCTCCGCTGCGGCGTGCCAGATGCCCGTCGTAGGTTTGGCACGTAAAACCCACAAATTTGACTTTTAATTCATCTATATAGAAAGGACTAAGCGTTTATCTGATGAACATTTGCGTACCATAGGTTTCGCCGTGATTTTGCCTGCATGTGTTGCCTCAGCCAGTGTTGGCTCGCTTCCCAAGGCAGCGGACGTGTACTGTGTCGAGGTCGACATATAAGAAACAATACAACTCCGTTTCATCATAAGTCCGAGCGGGGCCAAAAGCTATAGTTGCATCACAAACACAAACGAACAGACTACAAATGCGATGTTGCGACGCATTCTTCGCCCTTAGCTGGATCCGCTGGCGGTAAAACAGGCGTAAGGCGTAGAAACACGAAAACTGGCGTGATCTAGAGCGCTTTCCACGAAACTTGATTGCCCCCATTAACTCATAGAGTTAGTAGCGATCAGACTTCACATGAAACGGAGTATACTCTATTGAAACAGAGAGTCTGCATAAGTTCACATGAAACGGAGTATACTCTATTGAAACAGAGTCTGCAGAAGCTTCGTCCACAAATTTCCAGTGAAAAAGTTCCCGGTGAAAAAGGGCCGTGAGGGGCGTGAGGATGGTGAGGGGTGTGACGCTAGTGAGTGCGTGGGGGGCGTGAGGGTGGTGAGGGGCGTGAGGGCGGTGAGTGCGCGAGGTTTATATGACTGCGTGCGGTGGCGTGATGACCCTGAGTACGTGAGGGGTGTAAGTGCCGTGATGGCGGTGAGGGGCATCACAGTTCGTGAGGTATTTGAACTCAAATGAAGCGCTTGCGTTTGCGTGTGGGTCTTGTGCGACACGATGAGTTCTCAGTGAGGCCTGATTTCACTTGAAGTCGTAGAAAATTTGTGAGAGGTCGAGCGGGTATTGTGACCTCTCGCGGCATCTCCCGGGAAATGGGGTCGACACTCGCCTCGCAACAATTTCGCCGCAGGGATGCTTGGTGCAATTTGATTCTTTGGTAACGAATGAGAAAAAAGGAGTTAGTGCGAGCTAAGGCTTGCTGCTTGGCGCTAAAGGAGGTATTCACTGGACGCCATATTTGAGGGCGATGTTTAGAGCGCATGCTCAGAACGAGCTCACATTAATAGCCTGCTAAGACCGGCAGCCTTGATGGTGCTAAATGCACGCTCCAAAAGGACTGCGGAAGCTCGCCGTCAGCACGCGCTCAGCAGCAGCGCACACGGATATGGCCGCTAGTGAATACTCCCTATTTGATACCGCGGTTTGGGCAACTAGCGTTTAATTGGCCTTTTTTTTTTACGTTTGAGAGAAAAAAGGAAGCTGGGTCGGAATGGTCGGGAGCTCGCTCGCCGCTTCAGACAGAGAGGCGCTGCTGAACGGGCGGCGTTTTGCCGGTTGCCGGCATACTTCGGCGAACCTCACTTATGAGTACCATCACTCAACCTCACCTTCATAGGTGAGGTGAGGGTGAGTGAGTTTCTGAACCCCGAAAACTCATCTGTGAGGGTGAGTGAGGACCGTGAGGACTTTAAGGGGTGTGAAGGCGCGAGGGCCGTGAGGGCTGTGAGTGCGTGAGGGGTATGAGTGCTTGAGGGGCGTGAGGGCCATGAGTGCGTGACGGTGAGTGGGACTGTGAGGGTGAGTGAGGGGCTGAGGGTGAGTGTAGCTTTGAGGGTGAGGGTGAGTGAGGGGCTAAGGTTAATGTGGTTGTGAGGGTGATTGAGGGCGACCTAAAATGCCGACATCTGTTCACAACTCATAAGAAGTGCTTAGGTGTCCTCGGACTTTTGTTTTCTTCAAATTATTTATATTTGTCACTAAAACCAACGATTATAAAGTTAATTAACAAATTGTAGTTAATTAGTCAACTTAGCGTGATGATTATCCCCTGATCTAATGTCCGCCGAGCATGATAAATACACGATGAGGACGGCACTCGCTTAACTCTCATCCTCTTTGTTTTTAAATGTCTTTGAGCTAAAATCAAACACCTTGTAGATAATTCCGTCCCGATTTCCTCCGGGCGTTGCTCTGACCGAAAACTCGGACGTTTGCAGGCGGGACGGTTGCGGCAGCAGTCGCGCGGAGGACGAGAGCCTGTACATGCAGGACCTGGCGGCCTACATCCCAATCCAGGGGCTCAAGCACAACCACGACGTCAGCCTGATACCACTCCAGGTGGACACTGTAGACTTCCACGAACTGCAGATCCTCCATCACGGTTGCACCATCGTCCACTGGGAAGAGGACGGCTCCCGCTCGGTGCTGTGCTACGCACGCCTTGAAAGTCACAACGGAACGATAACTTGGTGCAGACCGACGTGGAGTGCCCTACAGGTATCCGGCCCGCGGGACTACTCTCTCAGCGCCAATATCGAGGAGTGTGTGCCCATCGGCGTCGTCCAGAAGTGCGAGACCGGCGAATCGTACCAGGCGGGCCTGGAAGAAGGTTTTGTCGACTTGCACATCGTCAAAGAAATTGTTTTGTGCCGGAGCTCGATCGAAGTGGCTGCTGTCGCCAGGCGGCACGGCCTGGAAGACTCAATCTGCGACCAAAACCTCCTGAGAATCAAATTCGGCACAGGGCTCTCTGAAAACAGGGTTCTTGAGTTCATTCTGCCGGGGACTCTCGCCGAAGTGTGGTACAAGAGTATACGGCGCCTTGTCGCCATGCTCAAGCAGCAGCGGCAGCTGTGCGACAGTCGTATCTATTGGCTCAAGGAAACTTTCCTCCAGCTCTACTACAACGAGCAGAACTGCAGTGGACCCACAGCTTTTGAGTCAATTAAGGTCAGTAGATCGTCCCGACCAGAAATTGTTTCCAGGGCATTTTGTCATTCCGAAATTTAACCCAACGCCCATTGTTCAACTATCAAGTGTCTGCTAACTTTTATTTTCGAGGAGCACACCCATGCAGCAAAGGTTAAGTCAAATCTGATACCTGGAGATTGCTATACAGCTTGCCTGATCATAGATGATGCAAGTTATACCCAAATCTATATGATAGTAGGAGGTGATAACGGGATTTTGGCTATCCATTTTAGATTGTTAGTTTTGTTCCCGCTTTCACTTTTATGTTTTTCACACTTGTGTTGTGAGCGAGATGAACAAACAAGAAGCCAGCACCCCGATTTCGGAGAAACCGACCTGTAATTGGGCATGTCTAAACATACCCTTTTCGTTTTTATTTTTATGTTTTTGTTTTTTCTTTGGCTTTCAGGCATTTGGAGGAAGAAAGTGGAGTGCATCATGGGTGGCGGGCAGCAACGCAGTTGAAGCATCAGCATTCAAAAGAGCCTCTAGCTTTGGTATGAGCACTAACAAGCTGCGGAAGAAAAAATCTTCTTCGTCCATGGTGCCTTTCAAGGTAACCGGTCTTTGAAATCAAAACAGGCCTTACAGCGCGTTTTTTTTTTTTTTCTCGAGTTCAGTTGATTTTTTTTTGCCGTCGAATAATATAAAAAATATGTTACAACGATTCCAAAGAAAAAAAGCAACAGAATCACGTTCTTAGTCAAAATTAGGTTTCAAAGCAATTATTACCCTCTAAATATATCTGAGAAGTTTGACATGTTCATCGACGTTTTCTAAAAGGACTGACCCTAGATATGCACGTGGATAAAATTGTTAAACATTTCTGTCTTTTTTTTTTTCTTAAGGAATGAAAGTATTTTAAGGAAGCAATATCATTTAAATTTAAATGTGTGTTATGAGTTCGATTCTCTTACAATCCTTGGAAATATCACGGTTCTTAATTATGGTGAGCGGAAAGTCCAGGTATTGCAAAATGTTGTTCATAAGACAGAATAAAAAAAAAAATAGGGACTAGGAATAGAAAATATAAGTTCCTAGCGTTCCAACTAGAATTCATTAATATCGTTTTGTTGCCTTTTACAATTCGTCCGGAGAATATAACGATGTCTGCAGTTGTTCGGCTGAAATTACTTTTTCACAGGTTGTGCTGAAAACAGTCGAGAGAGGGCACAGTGAGCGAATGTCCCAGAATCTTGGGGATGAGTTAATTCGACAAACACCTCCGCTGGAAACTTTTATCGGCAGAGAATTAGACGCGGGCTGCTTTAACGTGACCGCTACTATTGCCCGAATTCGAAACGCTCCCCTCGCGCACATTACAATTTTAGGAATAACACGGCGCAGCACGCCGAATCGACAGCTTACGGGCAGTTCCTGACAACGTCTTACTGTAGTCACCATACAGTAGGCTAGGGCAGTACGGAGTTCCCGTGGAGTCGCACAAATTAGACGAAGCGGTTGTCATTCTTCCTCTTCCAGGACGACAATGCCATCTTTGTGTTCGACATAGACGAAGGCCCTCCCCGCAAACCCAGCCCCACTGTGAAGAAACGCCGAGCCACGGTGAAGTCCTCACCCCAGATGCGCTCCCAGGAGTCGAGCCCTCAACGACTCAGCGTCTCACGCAGTTCCTCTTCCTGCGAAAACCTGAACCGCGTCGACGGCGGAGTCCCTGTCGTCCAGCCGATTCCGCAGACCGCTGGGTACATGCCTAAAATCTCGAAAGCTAAGAACAAATGGATGAAAAACAAAACGAGTCACGCGGAGAGCGTCACAATGGCCGCCCATGTTTCGCTATACTCCATTTCACCTTGAGTCGGAGCGCAGTTGACGCTACGAGCCGATGGGGCCAATCGAAGTGCTCGAAAAGTGTTACGGCATTTGTCGTCTTTCCGCGGGGGAGGTATCCCCAGCTAAACGATTCGCGCTCAGTGATTTCACCATGACCTTTCGCTTTGAGTCTGAATGTGTGTGTGCTTGTTCTAGCCGTTGAGTGCGCTCTGACCTATGGTGAAACGAAGTACCCGACGTTACCATTCTTCCTCAAGAGGACCTATCGGGCTAATACATGTCGATGGATATTCCACCACTTTTGACACGATCATTAATTCACGTTGAATTTCCTCCTTTAAAGTCAACCAGAGTCAAACTTACTTTTGTTGTTCTCGTTGAAGGGACCGCGCTGCTTTAAAACTTTACGGGTGGAGTTTTGATTTTCCTATGCAGCTGCGCAGCCGAGTCTTCGTGTATCTATTGATGTGTTAATGGCCGTACTTCATGCAGTGTCACATTAAAGAAAAGGTTAAGTCGCACAACCCCGTGTGTATAATACTACTTTTTTTTTTTTGAGGGTGAGATTGTTTGAAGCACTCGCGAAAAGTGTGAGCGCCAACAAGGTCGGATGTGTCCACGATACGCTCGGCAGAAGAAAAAAAATGAAAGAAAGAACTATGTGTACCTGTATATCAAACCACAATCGGCCTTGCAATTATTTATCCTAATTACGCTGTATTAGCTAGAATTTAGGTCATTGCCCGGACCGCGATGGTTCCTCATAGTGGGGTGCTCGTTATATCTGCACAGTGCATAGCATCAATGCGTCGTGGTTTAGTTGCATTTACTGAATTGCATTTTACATGTTTTATAAATACAGTTCACTACTTTCTTATATAAAGTCGAAAAAAATTGTGAAATATATAATTACTTTCTTTAAAAATGCGTTGCAGTTATTTGCATTTATTTCATAACTCTAACCATCATTGCGTATTCGCTGACAAAAAAAAACAAAAAAAAAACGCAGCTGCCTCATTTGGCTTGCGCCTAGCGCGTGGAGGCTAGTCTTCATTAAATTTTGCCTGTACTGTTAAGTGCAGTAAAAAAAACAGCGATCTATCAATATGAGTCACGTAGCGATATAATAAAACAACTGACTTTTCTGATACTCCAAAGCGGCTTTCTTTCAAATGAATAAAAAAAAACATGCTGAAACGAAAGCACGAGGTTTGACCGAACGTAAGACGCACGCTGTATAATTGCGGAACAAGGTCCTCAGATAAACATCACTCAAGTCGGGTAGCGACAGTAATATTGAAGTAATTCAATATATTTTTTTTTTAACAAATCACATTTGAAAAGTAATTTCTCCAAGTCTGCCGCACCGTGATGGGAACAGGCAGTTCAGTATCGAGGGTGTGCGGGCTGCAACCTGTCTCACGGCTGTCTTGCGTCTCGTTCGAAGGGACCGGCCGTGTCACGAATCCCGGGACCCGATCACCACCTCCGCTCTTCTGAACCGTCTAGTCATCACCAGTGGCAGCCGCCTCACCTTTTCTTCGTTCGTGGAACTCTTCCGATCGTTCATGGTCCACGCCCGACGCGACATCTTCGCTCTGTTCTGCGCCATGGCCACCGTATATTCGTTCTCGACGGATGAAGCCGAAAAAGCGGCCGCCGACAGATCCTCCAAGTCCACCACCAAAGCTCTCGGTGAGTACCGGACGAAGTGAGCGCGCTCACATCAAGTACACACGAGGAGGGTAGCCCGACGTTTGTAGTCGTCGGGAGTCACTGGCACGAGCGCAGCGCGGCCTGCGCCCGCGATCGTTGTGTTCCGTCGCGCTTTGGCTGCTTCTGCACGCTCGACGCTTACGAGACGCCCAAGTGTTAGGGAAGGAAGCAAGCTCGCGCTGAACAACTGAAGGACCTCCCTGCCGTTCTGCATGCTGTCAGCAAATATAGTTACAGTTGTTTCTAACGAGCATTGGAACTGATCGCTTGTACCATCAGACCCGCCATTATAATAAAGCATGGAGAAAGCTCGCACGATATCACGCGCAGCCAATGATGATAGCACTAATAACAATAATATGAACAATACATGTTATTGTACTTGGAACTTTCAACTCATGAGATGCGGGCCCGCCGCAGCCAATTATAGGTTGTAGGACTGATTCCGGGAACATCAAAGGCAAACTGAATTCGAAGAGAACCACTGATATGTAAACACAGATGCGTCAGTTACATACATAACGCATTAAAAATTACTTGCCAACTGAAAGATAACAGGTAAAAAGGCGGAGCTAACGACCTGTAAATATAATTTCGAAGGAAAAGAGCAAAAATTGTGAAAAGAAAAACAAGTTTCGATATATGGAAACATCCAACTCAAAACCATGCAAAGTCTTCCCGATCAGAAAAAGAGAAATCCGGCAGGCAAAAATGTAACAGACTTTCAAGAACAAAATTGAAACTCCTTAAACGTTTCTTCACGTTGCATACAATATAAGACACAAAAAAGGGAGTAATGCTATAGGGATTTCTGGTTTGTTTGTAATAAGTATCGTTATACGTTATTTACATGGTGTCTCTCCGGCGACTGAGAATAAAAAAAAAAAAAACTGCACTTTAACTAAAGTAATTATTCTTTCGGGATAACGTTCTCGGCCATGACGGGCGCAGGTCACGAATATTAAGTGATAATTTTAAAATTAGTCACCTAAGTTTGTGGCATTCGACTTCCACCGTCCGTCCGCCTCGATCCATTAACCAGGCCATCCAGGAAATCAAAGGAAGGGTTCTATTACCATACCAGTGTCCCAATCGCAGTCGCAATCACTATGCTTTGCGATGGATCGGCGGGGCCCAATTTGCCACGGCACTGAAGGGCTGAACCGCCGCCTTCAGCGCCGTGCGTGGGCGCGCGGCAAATCGCTGCGTCATGAGTCGCTGCGTCATGAGTCGCTGCGTCATGAGTCGGCGGGAAAATCCAATCAATCCTAAAATGTGTCGCAAGCTCTTGACGTCGTGCGGCTGCGGGGAATCGGTTATCGCGTGCAGCTTGTCCTCATGGGGTCGGAGAACTCCGTTACCAACTACGATGAAGCGAGTTGCATCCTTACGGAAATAAATTGGCAGATTGCAATTGATCGTGGACAGTCCTGCCGTGCTCGAGGTGTTCCTCGAAAGACTGGAAAAAAACAACGACGTCACCTATGTAGGTCATCGCAACCTCGTACATACTTCGTGTCGGCTCTTGTTAATAAGTTTCACTTATTACTTTGGGAATATTCGCCTTAGCTAACATTCGAATTACAGATGTTGTGCCTATCATCAAAATATGCCATCGCTGTAATTAAATTGTTAAAATCAATGTGACCAAATTTTGCTTCGCGCTATTCCCTCGTAAATTTACGTCGTTTGGAGACTGGGATACTAAAACAAAGATAAACAAAACAAAAAACTGAAGTTTTTTTTTTTTTAATTGCAGCCGCGGATAGCGAGCCATCGCGAATCAGCCTGGTACGTTATCTAAGGGTCATGTGGTCCTAGAAATGGCACCCCACACTCTGATGTCTCCGCGAGCGTTAAGCGTTTTGAGCATTTTTTTTTCTCTCCTTATTATCGGTATAGCAGACTCTAAGACAGCATATAGTATATGCGCTATTGAATAACGCAGGGAAGAATTTAGTCATCTGACTTCTTATTTTTATTTATTTGCAAGACACTGCAGGCCAGTAATCCGGCTCAGGCAGGAGTGGATGAGGTTTCTCTTCACACACAACTGTTATAGCATATTTGGGTGACGGGAAAAAATTTCTAATTGGAATGTTCCATACAAGACGATTGCTAAAAAATTAGTTATGGTATTTCTGTTAATTAGATCGCTAATTATCTCTCTTTATTTCTATCCAGATATCCGCCGTGGTTGATAACATTATCCCAAAGTAATCATTTCTTTGTTTCAACTGTCTTTTGTTTTACATATTCTCAGTCGTTGGTGACGCATACAGTATCTCGCTCTCATGTTTCTTTTCACCAAACATTTGAAATTTAGATCAAGAAGTGAATCCGGTAATCTATTATAAATATCCGCCAACTGAACACTGTATAACTCGAGGGGTCATAAATAACTACATCGCAAGTGTTCGCAATGGCTTCTCTTTGATAAAAGTATAAAAAAAAACATGGGAGGCATACATGAGCAAATTAATCTTTGCTTTGTTCATCCGCAATTATGTACGTTACCCTCTCAAGATTGTTTTAAGAAAGACATTACCAACCTTGCTTTGGTACAAAAATTAACTATTTGCATACACAGTAACACCGTAATACAATACACCCTAAGCCAATGAATTATCCAGCATATCTCTGACAACGAAGGGTAGAAACATTTTCGCATAATACAACAGACATGACACGCTACGCAGTTTTAATGCCAATGTAATTAAGATCGTAATTCCAAGACAGCTCACTTCAGAAGAGTATGGCTAAGTTTTTTTTTTTTTTTTGTCTTTTTTTTGTGTGTGTGTTCACATATTCAAGGGGTATACAAAAAATAGAATGCATTTAAATGTATTGTAAAGTCATACATATTACTCATAGGAAAGATACATTATTTTGTATGTTGAAAGTGTTTCGAGCCAACGCTTATTTGTATATCTCAGGGCTGATTACGCGAGGCACGAAGTACGGCTGCCCCGATCCGGACCAAGACAAAATATTCCACGTCGTTTCCTCATCGAGCGCATCAACAGACCCCGATCAACCGGAAGTATCAAAGAGTCCCGTCATGGAACCTTCCGTCTTCCAGAAATTCCTCGAGACTCAGCAAGGAGAGATCCTCACTGAGACAGAAGTTATCAAGCTAATCCAGGTAACGTTGTTCACAACCCATATCCAGACTGTCTGCTTTAAAAACATCAAAATTGTATCCTTCCTAAAGTTTCTTAGATTCAACGCCTTGAAAACCCAAGACGTAGGAACAAAAAAGTGCGCACGCAAACCCACACACACAGACACACACACACAGTCTCTCTCTTCCTCTCTCTTTCTCTCTCTCTCTCTCTCTTGTTCCTAAGTCTCGGGGATTTCAAGATGTTGAAAGTTCACTAGCTCGTCTGCATGTTCTCTTTTAATTTTTTCTTTAAATTGTTCAGTGCATGACCTTTTCTTTTTATTGTGTTCCAGCGTCACGAACCCAACGACCTTTTGAGGAGGCACGGTCGCCTCTCCTTCGAAGGTTTTGCCCGGTATCTCATGGACAAGGATAATTTCGCCTTCGTTCCAGAGACCATCTCACCTGAGCTAGACGTAAGCACAGAAACTTGCATGCGTATTGCATAAACCATGTTATACATTCATCATAAGTCAGACCGCAGTCGAGGCTAGCTAACGCCATTTGGAATAATGAAAACCCGTGAGCAGTCTTCTCTGCGTCCACGTAACATCCTCGCAGTCGGATGACGCCAACTCAGTCATTGGGCCCGAGCCCGACGCCGAGTGTCCTTCGACGCATTGACTGGGCACGAAGCCCGTCCGACAGCTGACGCAGCATTCGTGTCCAGTCCGTTTCTGCACTCGATCCCACTGGGATGGTGATGCTAGTCCATTTCGATGTCACCAGGTGGTAGGCTGGCTGACACCGGAACGCGTTCACTGCGCGACACTAGATTCGTTCGATTTACCCGCACCTTCTGCACCGGGAGGCACTCACTTGATCGAATGACGTTTTAGCGAACGCCCACGTTTCATCGAATGACACTTTAGCGAATAGTCGGACGCCGCGAAGCGGCGTTTTCGGGTGGGCCAAATGAGTTCATATTTTTGTAATGAGTTGCCGCAGACTGTCGCCGCGAAGCGGCGTAAAGCGCAGCGCGACGGATGGGTTAACGCGCGCCCCCGTTATTCGCTAAAACGATCATTCGCTCAAATGTCGCCGTTCGCTAAAATGTCATTCGCTCTTGTGATATGGACCCTTCTGCACCAGTGCAGAAGAGTGTAGGGCAGTGTACTTCCGGTGTGTGTATTGAGATACGACCGGAAGTACACCACCCTACTCTTTCCTCCACCGGTGTAGGAGGTGCAAGTAAATCGAACGAAACTACTGTTAGCACAAACACGACATTAACGCTTTTTTTTTTTTTTTTTTTGGGGGGGGGGGGAGGCATTTTACTTTTAAAGGATATTTGCGGTCATCAAATTTTCCTGCTTAGGTTAGTGTCCCAAATGACAACTTTTTTTCGCAGTGGTGGTTTTTATGACAGCCCTTCGATTCTAAAGGAAAACAAAAGAGAAGGCGGCGATTACTTGTTCGCGCTAACGATGTCGCGCAGTGTACACACAGACTAAAAGCGAAAAGTCACGGTGAACCCTAAGCGATTGATTGGCACCATTGGCTCGTAACGTTGGCTGCGCCTTAACTTAAGGACCACCGACAACTTCCATATCGAAACTTTTTTATGTTCTGAAACGCTTCAAGAGCGCGTGATAAAACCGTCAAAACCAAAAAAAAAAAAAAAAAACATTTATTTGAGAAAACTAATTTTCGAGTTGCCGAAACAGCCGGTCAACGATCCGCGACCTCCTCCCCAAAATTGGGGGCGAGACGCGAATTCGTACTCCCTGTTACAAAGACGTAGTTGGCAAAGGCACTTTTTGAAAATTTAGAGACGTGCGAGCTGCATGTATGTAACAATTGTTGATAATGGCATTCAGCAAATATGATTTTGTTACAGTTATGAACACACCATGCCGCTGACTTCGAAATATAAAAAAAAACTCAGAGGCCAGAAGTGTTGCGAGGCATCAGCCGCCCGCTGGATTTTTTTCTTAATATTTCCAACGTGGCGGCGCTCGGCTATGTTGAAAAGCTGGTCAAGCACACAATGAATACTCAGCACGAGCGGAGGTTAAAGTAACCTATAGCCTGTCAAGAGCAACAGCTTTAACAGTGCAAAATGCATCTGGTGAACGCCGACTCTCACTCAGGAAGCGCTCAAACGCTACAGAGACTATGGCGGTCAGATTTGGGTACGTGCAGTGAATCATTTTGGCAGTGATGAAGCGATTGCGCTTGTTCGGTGTGCACACTCGTGCCTCTTGTTATTGTTGGTCTCTCCTTAACATGGGCTAACCATAAAGGCTACATGCGCGGTTGAATAACTTTAGCTGGAGTTCCAGCTGCAGAATGTTTGTGCCGTCGACGTGTGATTAAACGCAGAAACCTCGTGTCTGCAATTTTCGCGATTAGTCAATGTAACCGGAGACAAAGTATAGTAAACGACGCTTCTTTCTCTTTGCCGGGCACTTGGAGGAAACATTCCTGCCAAGGGATTTGCTTGTGACAGCGTCTCGCAGGCGATCATGTCGTTTACTTCTCACGTTTTGTATGTATGTTTGTTCGATAATGGTGAGAAGCTTTTTGTATAATGCACGTGTCTCGCCGAGGGCCTTGTGGATGTCTCGCACCTCAGCTTCCTTTTAGATACTTGAATGGCTGCGTCCAAAGGTTATCACGCATGCCCCAAGACAACCATGCAAAACCTAGAGCATCAAAGCTTCAGGCGATTGTGGTAGGGCCGCTCCCCAGTACGATACAAGATCGTGTGCCATGTTGTGTTTGATAGCCGCACCCTTTGGTGACACTTAGAAGTCAAGAGTCCGAATTTCCGCCTCCGTTAACTTCAGATTTCCTTGCGTCCTTCCTAAGAAAATTATCTGGGAAATATTACTTGAATAACCACAGAGTGGGTGTTCTTTGTTGCCAGGATATGGACTATCCTATGGCATACTACTACATTGCATCATCTCACAACACCTACCTGACCGGCCACCAGCTGAAAGGGGAGTCTTCGGTGGAACTATACAGTGAAGTACGCTGTCTCTCTTTTATTTTTATTCCTTTCTTTGCCTCGAGGTTTGCAGCGAAAGCGACGAGAAGCTTTGAAAGGTGCTCTTGAAGCATGAGTGCCCACTTATGCCTTGCATGCCTCGCTTTGCCTTGCAAAAGAGCTCAGCAACAGTGTCGTTGAAAGTGCAAAATTAGACGTTAGGTTTTTAGGCAGCGTGAGTTCAGTTAGCCTTTGAGGTAGGGCGACATTTCTACACGCTGTAGATGAGAAATTGAGCAAGTGAAGTGTGACTGCTAGCCTGGGGTCTTTTACGCACTATGCCGCTGATTTTCACCCCATAGTAATATATAGCTTGTAAGTGTCGCCACTGCTGGTAACTGACGGTTATTTCTACTCACTGGCTTGTTCGAACTACAGCTTCTGCGGTGTGAAACTAACATGGCGAACCGAACACTCGCGGCGCATAGAATACTGGCATGGAAGCCAGTTTTTATGCGCCGCTTGTATACGCATAGCCTGAATTGAAAGGTTAAAAGGCGCGAACACACAGGACGAAAAGCGCGAACACACAGGACGAAACACGACGACGTCGTCATGTTTCTTCCACCCAGTCTCAGGTGGTCTAAAAAATGGTAAATGTATAGTTTGACACGAGCGTTAATGCGACTGAGTCCCTTTTGAAAGGAAAACTAACTTCCGTGTATCTCCCACAACAGTGAGGGACGTAGGCAGCCCCTAAACATACAGCCTCCGACACGTGGTCAGTGTGGCCAGAGAAAAGAAATAAACAACTTCACAATAGCGAGATTGAACGAAGAAACTTTGCAAAAAAAATAAGAACGAATGGTAGAAAATCTCTGAATGTTTCCGAATCCACAAATTCACAACGCTATGCCGAGTCATCTGGCAAGGGCACGCAGCCGAGATAAAAGACCGGTTTAGTATATAGCATTGCTGGCTCTTACGTACGCAATACAAAACAGTATAGCGTACGCTAAAAACGACCTACTCGGGCCGATTTTAATTGTGCGTTACGTTGTCGAGTGAACATCTCACATGATCTTGTTGATTCAATTTGTCAGTGCCGTAGAATTCCGCGTGCTTACAGTGCCACTGTGTTCTTCAAAAGAAATATAGAAAATGAAAACGTTTCCAATCATTTTATTTTAAATTAAACCACGCCGTAGCTGCCTGGTCAAGCGCGCTTTTCTGCAGGTTACGGAGGCTACGAGTACAAGTGCGTAGCCAAACTCGATCACAGAGCCTCCGTCAATCGTCCCGTGGAAACGGCACCTTTTATCAATGCTATCGCGGGAAGAAATTCATGACCTATACTGATGTCCAGTGCATCAACTTCGGCGATTTCTGGAAGAGTCGTTCGTCCGTCGGCGATGAACTGCGCGAAGAGGCTTAGCGTTGAGCAGATCGCAGCGTTGACACACATTGCGAGCGGTGGACATTTTCACGATGCATTCCTTCAGCTCCACGGCGATACGATTCAACCGCGACAGGTCCTGGAAAGAATTGCCGAGCTAAACACCGCGCAATTTCACGTGACACTGAACTTCGCGGATGCCACGTCGCCCTTGCTGCGCCAGTCGAGGTAACTGCCATCTTGAAACTGGTGCTCTCGCTAGGCCCGAGATCTCTCCAGAACTTCCCGGAAATTCCGCAACGCGAAATTCCCAGCGTTGCGTGCGTACGCAGTGCGATAGCCCTTCTATTGCGTTCTGCGCATGCGCACTCTCGATCCGCAATTTCTTTCCGTACGCAAACTTTTAGCGTACGGTCCACTAAAACTGTCGAATGACGAGGTACGTGATACGTCCATGTCACACTTCTGTACATCACTGCGGACGAAAGTTTCAGTGCTCTTTCTGCGTCCAGTTTTGGAATCAAGCGAGAAAAACGCAAACTGATCGATGAATATATTGAAGCCCGTTGGCATTTCGAAAAATGCTTAAATTGGTTTAGCCGCTTAGTCTAACTGCTGTCAATTCTACAATTTTAACATTAAAAAATCCAATCAAATTGAAAACTAATTAATCGGTTTTAATTAATTAGCCAAATCACCGTGACGGTTATTCGTTTCTGTGATTATCTAATGTTTTATCTAATCTCCGCCGAACATGATAATTAGGGGGGGGGGGGGGGGGAGGGAGGCGCCCGTGAAACTCTCAACTCCCCTCACCCCCCCCCCCCCCCCCCACCCTGTCTTTAATATATATGTTCGAATTGAAATTAAGCAGACTGTATATATCGAGTCTCAAAAACACTGTTCGAATTGCACGGGCTGTAATGTCAATCAGTTGAAGAATGAAGCTACGCAATCTTTCTGACGCCTTTCGCAGTATTTTATATCATCCTTTAAAGATCAGTGAGGAACCGCTCCGATGCCTACAAAAAACAGCCCAATCGCGACTTTGTCAGTTTTGTACGCCAGAGCTTGCATACGCCAGACGCAAAACCACTAAGAGACGCTAACTTATCTTTAATTCGCCACCTATTCCCTCTCTCTATATATATCTCTTTCTCTCTCTATCTCTCTCCCTCCCTGTGTCTTCCTCTCTAGGTTCTCTTGAGAGGTTGCCGTTGTGTAGAACTGGACTGTTGGGACGGAGATGATGGAATTCCTGTTATCTACCATGGACATACTCTTACGTCAAAGATTCCATTTAAGGTAACCGTTCGAAAGTCCCCCGTTCCGGAAAGGGGTGACTCAGAAACGGAGGTGAGTTCACTGACCCTCGGACGTCGTCGACGACCTTCTTTTCCAGAGCGTGGTTGAAGCCATTGAGAAGAGCTGTTTTGCCAACTCACCTTACCCCATCATACTCTCCATAGAGAACCACTGTTCTCTGCAGCAGCAAGCAAAAATGGCCCAGATCTTTGCAGTAAGCCATCGACTTGTTTCTACTGCCTGCATTGCCGTGCATCCAACTGTTAATGACTTACTGCATGTTCATATAAAAGTATGGGTTGTTCAGCTGAACAAAACTGTACAGAGCCTCTAAAGTCATCTGATCCTGTTTTTTTTTTTTTTTTTTTAATAGCCTCATTACTTTTTAAGCTAGCCCTCGTACATTTAGACCGAGTAGCGTCTGCTGTCAAAAAGAAAACGACACTTTCTCATTGAAAGCTTACACAATCGCTTTCACTTTTTTTAAAACTATGTGCTGAAGTTTCACATTACGTGCTGGAGTTTGGCTCATTATCCCAACCTCTAGTGATATGTCCGGGTATAATGTGAGATTTTGGAGATGCAAAGTTTATTTTTGCTGTTCGAAAAACCACGGCTCGCTTTTTATAACCAGCACCCTGTGTAAGTTAGAGAGTCCCTCGGGACCCGTTACGCATTGTGATTTTTTTTTTTTTTAGAATGATATTTGCCGTTTGAAATAATAATCGTGAGCCCCTAACCACTTAACGTGGCGACAATCGGATAGTTTCCTTCTATAGATGAATGGGGTGATCAGTTAGCATATAGTTGCGCGTCAACAATTACTAAGTACAGTCATCGATTTGAAGGGTGCAAATCTTCGTCATCATTAAGTTTGCCGTTGCGCGGCCACCGGCTTTTTCCTTCCTTTCGGTTCAGCGGAGATGACTGACAAATCTTGCCTTTCTAAAAACCTCAAGCGCTGAATAGGTTTAAGTGCTATTACGCGCGTTTATCAAGGCCCATTTTGCAATCATTGAAGGAAGCATAACTATAGTTTTGAAATCCAACTATCTGTACTAGAAATCACAATAATTTCGGGAACTTCCATGTCTTGTTGTTCTGGGACTCTTATGGCCAAGTCTCACTGGCACGACAAACACCAATGTTTGTTCGTCAACAAAACGCGATGAGTTTTTTTTCAACCCTACAGCACTCTTCCGCAGTACCTCTTGTTCACGAACCTGTTCTTTTGAGACCGGCAGGTGACGCTCAAGCGTAGAACAGGTTCGTCTCGAGGTGTGTCTCGTCGCTGCAAACAAATGGAAACGAGGATCTTATTATGTCCACGCTGTGCGACAAGTCTCTGCAGCGGTTTATTTGTGCGCACAGTGCTGTCAAAAGGAAGAATGCGCCATTTCGTGTGTGTGCATAAACCATGGCACTGTGGTAATCCTGAACGCTGTAACGTTGCCTTCTTTGTGTTTTCTTGCAGAGTGTCTTTGGAGATAAATTGGTCACTAATTTTCTTTTTGAGAGTGACTATTTGGATGACCCTCACCTACCGTCGCCCAACCAGTTGAAATACAAAGTCCTCATCAAGAACAAGAAGCTGAGAGCCCCTTTGACCCCTGCACTGCCTTTTAAGACAAAGGTATGTCACAATGCGCTCGCTGCTCGTTCGCACTAACTGTATGGCTCATTTTGGTGACTCATTTTATAGCACAGACATTGTGGCTATGTTGATTATTGCTCCCTCTATGTATCTTTATCGCTGACTGAAAGACGTGTTAGATTTGGCAGGGGAAAGAACTGTAAAATAACGAAGCAAAAGTGTTTCAGTTACTTTAATTAGTCACATGTTAGTAAAGAAATGCGTTTTTAGCTCTAATGAGTTTTAACTGTAATTTAGTTACATGTCTTAGCAACTTGTAGTTTAGTTAGATTTCCTTTTTTTTTATCAATATGATATGGCCAAATACACACAATTTCACTGCTTTAGTTCTAACTTCAGCTCCATATTTTGCCACTACCTCAAATACAGTGGAGAGCAGGGTGCTGAAGCAAAATTGAACTGCGCCAATAAAACACTTTAGCATTGCGTTAAGGCGCGTTCACACTCTTGCAACCGAGTACGACCGAGAAAGACTTCTTGAGACCGGATGCGCTGAGCGGAGCTGGTCCTAAGAGATCGCAAGAGGCTTAAAAACCGGTTTGGTCTCTCTCGGTCGTACTCGGTTGCAAGAGTGTGAACGGGCCTTTACTGCAATAGCCTAAAGGCCCGTTCACACTCTTGAGACCGAGTACGACTGAGAGAGACGAGATCTCTTACAACTTCTTAAATGTTTCTAGAATGAGGGGACACACTGACATTGTGGCGCCATCTATGCGGTGACCCTAGAACTGCATTTCACAAAAGCGAAGGTTTTGCGGGATTTCCGAGGTCAAATGTGCGTAATACCCATAGAAAGGCTCGTTTATAACATTGACAAAAGTTTTTCGAGCCAAAAAATAAAGGATATCGCTCGAGAAATAAAAAAAAAAAATATGCCGGACCGCTGAGTTTACACTGCTTCCCAATAGATGGCGCCAGTGTGTTCTCTGGTTTAAGAAGTTTTAAGGAACCCAGGTTTAAGAGGTCGCAAGCAGTCGCAAGAGTGTGAACGGGCCTTTACCGTTAATGCGCTTCTGGAGCCCGGCCGAAAACGTACCACAAAAGGAACCGTGGTGACATCGACTTTTAGCAACACCAATTTTGTTCGGCAGGGCGATATAAGATGACAATTTGCTGAAGCGTTTTATCAAGTTCTTAGATCAGATTCGACACTGCGGTAATGGTAACAATAGCGGTAGTATGGTACCCATATGCTAAAATGTCCTATTCAAGAGTTACTGACACAGCCACTGGCACATTTCTGATATAGAGTAGGATGCCTAAATATTTTTTTCTTGGGATGGTGTCACAACGCCGACAGCATGCGACCTGAAAATGTGCAAAAAATAATAATAAGCGTGAAAGAAACATGGTGAAGCACTGGTCAGTCGTATAAGCTGGCCATAGCCTACGAGCTGGCGTATCGAGTAGCGTAGAGGTGCTCTAAGTACAGGCTCGAAGAGACGTGCCACGGAGAAAAAAGGGAACCAGCGTTACACTCCAAAAAAAGATATCTGGTCGTAAAATAACTGTTAAGGTTCTTCGGCCTCCACATATTTTGCACCCAAAAAAGTTATTTTATGCACACCCTAAAAAGGTTTCTCGTGAAAAACCTATAAAGCGTTCTTCTAAGCTTCTTTTTTTTTATGCGAAAGAGTTCTTCATCACCTAGTTGCCTTTCTAGTGCGCCAGGGGGCGATAGTGCTTGAGGCGAAACCGTTCTTCACGAGCTGAAAGAGTTCTTGGGGCATCGAAAAACCATTCAAGAAGTATTTTCTTTTATTATTATTGTATAGGGCGCGCCTGTATTTGGTTTCGGGGCTTACGATTCCCGTCAGAACTGCATGAATGCAATTTTCCATCCAGAAAGCAGCGAGTGACTAGCGAATGCGTACTACCGTATTTTCCGGGCTAGAGTCCGCACCCGGAATGTAGTCCGCAGGGGCAAACTTGGGGTCAAAAATAAAAGTTTTCGCTTAGATAGTCCGCACGCCGTGCATAGCCCGCACCCAGTGCATAAGTCCGCACCTGGTGCTTAGTCGCCACGAAAATATTCTTAAACGGCACACCTTGACACATGCCTGCTTTCTTAGTTCACATTGAAGCTTGTATTAAACACAAATCATCACTAACAAACTATTTCCTTCACAAAATCTGTCACGTCTCTTCATAATGAACGGTCTTGTAAAACAATATTCCTGTATAGTCCGCACGCGTAGATGGTCCGCACAGACTAAACTTCCTATTTCTATACATGGATCATAGCCAGGAAAATACGTCAAGTTCGAACGCAAAACGTATGCCGCGTTGTGAGCGTGGCCTAACGCATGCTCCGTGATGGTTCAGTCTTTCCAACAGGTCAAGAACGCCCCCGGCCGAACCAACAGCATAATTTCCACGGCCAGCACCGGGTCCCTCAATGATGACGACGACGATGAGTACGACGAAGATGACGATGACGACGACGTACTCGAAGGTGCGTGCCGAACAAGCCGTGAATCTACTTTTTTTTTTCTTTTTAGTGCGCTAGCATTACCGCCCTGGGAAATGCGCTGACTTTGAACTGGTCTGGAGCACACGTACATGAAGTTCGCGACGTCGACACGGGATGACGCCATAGCCCAACTGGCTATGCAAACTGGATAGGAAACGCAAACGCCGACAGCTGGCGGCGGGGTGCATATTTTGAGAAGCTTGGCGATAGGACGCATAGCAATAGAGGCCGCACCGGTTTGGCTGGTTAGAAGGAGCGACGCCGTGACGTAACACCTAGCAACTGAATATCGCCGGCGGCGACGTCCCCCTTCGCCAATTTCGGCGCCACGCAGTGGGGGACGACGGGTGTATCAGTGGAGCGAGCGTTAACCCTCCCCCGTTCACGCCACTTCGCGGCGACGGTCTGCGGATGGCTCATTTCAAAATATTTACCCACCTTGGGCTAGAGTTCCTGTATAGGCTATTCGCCGAGATCCATCACGTGAGGAGCAAAGCATCCGTTGGCGTGCAAGAAAGCCACCTTTACGGTCGCTCCGCCGACGTTTCTCTTGCCCCCGCGTATGTTTCCCTGCTTTCCGCCTCCTTTTCCTCCTCTCCTGTTTTCCGTGCGCGGCGGCGCGCGCGGCGCCGCTATTCGCCAAATTTAGTCACGTGAGGAGCAAAGCATCCAGCTCGTGCGGGGAAGCCGGCGCTACGGCCACGCGCCGAGGCTGAATGCGCAACTCTGCTACCGTAGGTAGCTATACAGGAACTCTACCTTGGGCCACCCGTGCACGCCGCCTCGCGGAGCCCCGCCCGCGGCCCAAGTACGCCCTAGCCCCGATGTCCCCCACTGCACCTCGGTTGCTTGGTGTTGAGTCACGCCGTTGCTCTCTATGCCAAGCGCAAGTCGTCTTCGTCTTGTAGAGGGGTTGCGATGATGTCAGAACGCCGATCTCTTATTGGCTGATTGCAAAAAAAATAGTGGGTGGACCATAAGGCATCTAGCATTGAGGTATATTCACTATCCTTCCAATCAAAGCCAATCAGAGCTCGGCGTCATTCTGACGTCACCGCAACTCCTGCGCAAAAAGAAGACGACTTGCTCTTCGCATAACCAGCCGATCCTCCGCGGCCGCCGTGCTTCATGGACCCACTAAGTAATCTGCTTGCACCAGGGAGATGAGGGGTTTCGGAAATGTTCACCCCGCCGTTGAGTCGGACCACTGAATCATCTCCCAGAATGTGCGATTCTCTCCCAGGACCGCGTGAAAACAAACCCTCTTTTGTGCAGCACGAGTCCAGGCCGCCCGCCTCACAGGGAAAAAAAACAAAAAAAAAAACCGCTGTTCTGGTAGGCAACACTAGGAGACACGCGTCGGGTGAAAACTATTTAATGACCTGAACTAAAAGATGAAACAATCAACAGAAACATGGGTTCACTAATAGACGATGTTATTATTGTTACTTCGCTCCATCCAGGTGTTTTTTTTTTTCTTCTTCTTCCTTTTGCCAATATACTTGCGTGTGTCACCTTGTATTATTATTTGGAGGAGACTGGACGGCTTGATTTAAAAAACATTGGTCCACTAAATGCTAAACAAAAAAAATCTCTTTCCCGCGGAAACGGCTAGTTAGGTGAGGCACTCGTGTACTGCATGCAACATGGCGGATCTGTTTTGGTATCACGCAATCTCGCACCCAAGAGCGACGATGATTGCGCGCATGCCAACTGCGCGTTCCTGAAACAGATGAATTCTAGCCCTTCCAATCGCGGTTGCTTAAAACATCTGACTCAACGTAGTAATCATGTCGCTTCATTTCTCCTTGATATATCCAGAGTCTCTGTCCAGTCAGGAAGGATCCTTCAAGGACAGCAGGACACTGAGCCCGGGGACATCACACCCACGTTCCAGAAATCATGCGGATCTAGATCTCTTCTACAGCGACGACGACGGCTACAAGCAACGCAAGTCCAGCTCACAAATTGCGCCAGAATTATCGGACCTCGTGGTCTACTGCCAGGCCATCAAGTTTCGAGGTAATGATGCGCGAAATGTTCCTCAGGCGTTGTCCTGCGGTGCTCAACGTAACTATTTTTCCCCCACTTATTGGTAGGCTTCGTGACTGGCGCGTCACCAACAAATTCGGTAAAGGTGAAAAAGATGAGCAGCAGAAAGAACGTGCTTGGTGCTGCCGGCTCGCCATTGGGTCCCAGTACACCACCACAGTGTTCAGGTTGGTCGCGCAGACGTTTATCCGGTGCTAAAGCTTACGTAAGCCTTACTTCACTAAAATTAAAAAGCTTGGATTTATGCTATTTGTGACTGATTTACATGCTAACGTAACAAAAGGGTATCTTTCTGCACTTCCCCGGGTAATCCGAGTTGTACGTTGAAGCCGCCGGTAAGTTGAACGTAGAATCAAATTGCGCATCTATGTTTTTGCGAGAGCTGCTGCGGAGTACACAATTATGTCCGATATTATTTAGGCTGATCATAGCTGATTCAGGGCGCGGGACTATTACCCAGACTTTATGACTTGTTCTTTTTTGTTATATAATCAACAATTACACTTGCGCGTTCCTAGTGCGAAGAAAGGAGCGTAAACTTCTCACAATTGACGGAGTTCTACTTTAGTGTGCTGCCCTTAGGCAATATTCAGTAGACGCCGTAGATGAGCACGTTACTGTTGGCAGCGCATACTCAGAACGAGCTTCGAATTTTCGTTTGGTTTGCCACGAACGCCCCTGGATGGTGCGAAAGAAACATTGCGGAAACGTTGTCGAAGCTCGCTGTCGCGCTCGGCAGCAATGAACTCACCTATGACCGCAAAATGTATTTCACTTGAGCTCATATTTGCAACATCACCAGAATCTCTTTCTATACCCGACAGAGCTGAAGTCTGAACAGATACTACCGAAGAGGCCGTTAGCATCAGCGATGTGCCACCAAGTGTCTTCTATCAACGAAAGCGCTGCCAAACGACTGTGCAAACGTCATCCGCTTGCTCTCATTGCATATCCTTTTCCGTACCAACGTTGTTTTTTGTAGTCGTTTTTTTTTTTATATGTTGTTGTTGTTTTTTTAGCAGTGCTTACAAATATGGTATCCTTGACTGTCATGCGCACTCATTGTGATAACCAGTTGATGCGCACGTACCCGGCTGGGATGAGAATCGACTCCTCCAACTTCAATCCGGTCATATTTTGGGCATTCGGACTTCAAATGGTTGCCCTAAATTATCAAACAGAAGGTACGTAATAAAGCCGACGCCACTTTCTTTTACCACCAGATTGCGGTGCGCTTGTATGAGTGCAGAAATGACTGCGTGCTCAGATTAAGCTATATGCTGTTATGCTCAGATTAAGAAACCGCAGGAAACGTTGGGTTGCCAGTAAAGTACCATTACTGACTACGCTTGTAATACGATTGCGAGCAGTTTAGTTTAAATAGAACCTGCACCGTGTTTTCACTATTTTACAAATGTGGAGAGTTTTCGCGTCGGCTAATATGTGAGGTACCGTATTTGTCGGTGTATAAGTCGTGATTTTTTTTTTTCCCACAACAAATTTTATTGGTGCGTTTTACACAGCGGTGCGACTTGTATGTGTTCATTTTATAAGTATGCACATTAACTGTACAAGATGTAGGCCGTATCGGCATTTACAACAAAGAGGGAACGACTGAGCACCCACCGATGAACCGCTCTTCCGGCTGTCTGAAGGCGGTCCGGTACGTGACAGCATAGGTTCGCGGCTGCGGCAACTCCGCGCGCATTCCCTACAAAGAAGTGCGAGTTATACAAGGGCGCTACTTGTACACCTTTTTTTTTTTTTTTCGTGAAAACTGCATTTACTGGGGAGGGGGTGCGACTTCTACAACGGTGCAACACTATAGACTGGAAAATATGGCGAGCTAATAAAACCCGTGGCTCGGAATTCGAGTCATTTCTAAAGTAGCATTTAAAGGGCCCATGAAACGATTTTAACATCGAGAGAACGTGCATCTTATTACCCTTGTTTTGTTTATTTTAGCACAAGAACCATAAAACACAACCACTTCTCTCGAAATGTCGCGGATGCGCTGCGTAACCGCAAAAACAAAAAGGAACTATTTCTTGACTTGACTTCACTTACGGCGGCCATAAAAACTAACTTTGTGACGTCACGGCGGGTGCGGTTACTGAGATCGCTTTTGATTTTTGAACAAGTATATTCTCAGTTTAATGGTAACGTTTAGAAATGATTTCGTTCCATCATAAACAAATAAATCGAAAGTTTTATATTCTTGTTCAGTACACGAAGTGTTCGCAGCGCCATCTATCCGGAGTAAGTCAAAGCATTCCCTCCCCGCTGCTCCGCTGCCTAGCAACGTTGGCTGGCTGCTACCGGACGAGCGGTCCGATCAACGCGATATAAAAACCACGTTTAGGCCAGCTGCATGGTTCGTTTTCTTTCTCGTGCGCCTGGTTCGCCTGCGTGCAACTATACTCTGTTTCACCTTATGTTGCACCGCAGCAAAGGCTAGAAGCGCGAGCTCATAGCGTTGGCAGCTGCCCTCGGTGCACGAGAGCTTGTGCCGCCGAGGTGTGCCATAGAGCAAGGAGCTCGCGCTTGTAGCCTTTCCTGCGGTACAACACAAGGTGAAACAGAGTATAGGAAGTATTCACCGGCGGCCATAGCTGTGTGCGCGACTGCTGAGCGCGTGCTGATGGCTAGCTTCCAGGGTTCTTTTGCAACGTGCATTCCACACCGTCAAAATGGCCGGTCTTAGCAGCCTATTAATGGGGAGAGAGGGGAGAGTATGCTCTCGCTGTCGCAACGTCCACAGTGCTAAGGAGAGGACAAGACCGGAATCCGCGTACCCCGCGGCGCGTCATGCGCACGTGACCCGGGAAATATTGCATGAGTTGAGGGGCATCCACAAACGCCATCTTACTTGGCCGGAAGTCCGAAACTCGTTTCATGGGTCCTTTAAGCGAGAGAGAAATAAAAATTCGAGAATCGAGGCGTCTGCAATAATTACTAGCGACACTTGGGATTATGGTAGGGGACCGCAGTTTGACTAAGTTTTAGGGATTAGCGGGTGACGCTCCAGAACGGTAGTAACTAAAGCTCCTTGATAAAATTCACGCTTTCCGTTTTTTAAAAGTACCGCCAACCACCGTGCTGCGAACGCACACCGCACTTGCTACGAGCGGGTGCTCCGCCACAATTCGTTTCTAGCGCCGCTCATTTCAGTACTGCTCCGCCATTTGCTTCCAAGGGCCGCACGAGGCATGCGCTTCTTGCATTTGCGCTTTGACGCTACTTATAAAACAAACGCATCAAGATACTTTAGGCCAGGGTCATACTGCTCATACATTACGCAACAGAAAGTCTGGAAACACGAGTCACCGCAATATCCGTGGTTAGAATGCCGCGTGCCAAGCTTCTCCTTGAACTCATTGCCATGCTGCATTCGAAGCACGAATCTTGCAGTGACTCGCGTTCGAATTTGTATGCAGGCCGTCTTTTGTATGATGCATAAGCAGTATGATCCCGGTTTCCGTAGTAACGCCACTACCCCAGACTGGTCGTTGCTGTTCGCCACCAATCGTTGCTTCACCCCAAACTAATTCAATTTTTAATGCGTCAGCATTAGTGCCCTGGCACATGTACTGACCTTGGACGGTCTGGAGTATCTAAAGTTCGCAACCTCGCCACGGGATGGCGCACACAGCCCCACTGGCTTAAAGGGATACTGAACCGAAATTTGGATTTCGCAAAGTAAGGCTGCAGAAGTGTTGAACGGGACGCTAACGAACCCCAAAACATCACTCGTACATCGATATCTCAAACGGATGGCCGTACTTTTTGAAAAAAAAGGGCGCGATCAAGCGAGTTCTTTGACGTAACTGTCCTCCGGGAGAATTTGAGAATGAGCAGAAGAGGCCTCGCTTCTCTCCTCCCCGCTTCGGTTCACCAGCTTGACGGGACGTAGCGAGGAGGACGAAGAATGGGAATCGTGACGTGCCTTGTCTCGTCGGCCTCGTCGGCCGGGTTCAATCACGCACTTCTTTTCCGAAAAATGCGGCGATCCGTTAGATATATCGCCGTATGAGTGATATTTTTTTGGTTTTGCAGCTTCCCGCCTATCCGGCCGGCCTTGTTTAGTGAACTCGAAATTTCGGTTCAGTATCCCTTTAAACACTGGCTGTGGCAACTCTCTAGGAAACACCTTCTACAAGCGCCAACAGGTGGCGGCGGGGTGCATATTTCAAATGGCTAGGCGATAGGACGCATAGCAACGGAGACCGCACTGGATTGGCTGGTTACAGGGAGTGACGCCGTGACGTACCACCTAGGAACTAAAGATTGCCGGCGACGTCCCCCTTCGCCAATTTCGGCGCCGCGCGGTGGGGGATGGCGGGTGTATCACTGGGGCGCGTGTCATAAGACTCATAACCCACCCCGGCCCCTTCACGCCGCTTCGCGGCGACAATCTGCGGATGGCTCATTACAAAATATTACCCACCTTGGCCCACCCGTACACCCCGCATCGTGGCGCCCCGCCGACGGCCCAAGTACGCCCTAAACCCACTGTCCTCCACTGCACTTCGGTAGCTAGGTGTTACGTCAAGCCGTCGCTCTCTAGAACCAGTCATTCCTGTGCGGCCGCCATTGCTATTCGTCCTATCGCCTAGCCTCTCGAAATAAGTGGCCGCGGTGCGGGTGCGCGCTCTGGGCACCTTCGGAAGCTCCTACCGCCGGCTTGGGAGACATGTGGACGCACACGGGCCGGCGCTTCCGCTCTTCGGCCTACCACGCCGTTCTTGACGCGCAGTAACCATGTCACCGGGCCGTAAGCGCACGGTGTCGTCGCCTTTGTGTGCACCAAATGTATGCACAACAACTAAATGGCTCTGTCGTTTTCCGCTCATCGCGCACACGTCCTTCATGCACCCGCTAAGTGACCTGATCTGCTTGCACCAGGGAGAAGAGGGGTTTCGGAAATGTTCACTCCGCGGAAAAGTGCTGAAAGGCTGCATTCAGCGTGCTTTGGTGCATATAACCGCTGCGCGAAATGCTAACGCATTTCTTCGAGAATCAGCGTGGCGGCAGCAGCGATTTCGACCCATTTTTTTTTTCCTTTTTTTGCAACGTTCTTTTAGCGGTTTCCTTTGTTAAAACTGTGGGAACCTGTAGGAACCCGTTGCAAGATAAATGCCCATTACAACTTGCACCGGCAAGACGCCGCCACTTTCTATACGAAAAACGCACAGTGATCCATCTTATAGACCCCTTCCACAAGTACGCTCTCTTACGGTCGATCTGAAAATACTTCAAAGTGGCGTGCGCAAAAGACATCGTAAAAACGGCAACTGTATCAATTATGCACAGTCTCTTAGAAGGGAGTATTATATCACTTATAAACTTTCCAGCTTGTTGGTGTTATTCGCGCACGCCACTTCTCAGTATTTTCAGATCGACCGTAAGAGGGCGTAATTTTTGAAGGGACGTCAAAACTCCATTTCATCGGAAGTTCGCGCGAAGCCGATGCTAGAAGCACCAGCTTGCACGACGCTTTCTCTTCATGAGCGAGCATGCATAGCAGGAAGGCTCAGAGAATTGCGCTCGCTCTTGTAGCTTCTCCTTCGACCGCACGTCTCGAGAGATCCGACGTCTTACAGACCGTTCCAATAAAGCGGTCCTCGCAAGTTTCACCTTCAGGGATCGCGCCTAAAAGGCGCGTGATTTGCTTGCTTTCCGAAGCAGCGACTTTGGGCGTGCTGGGCTTTGGAGATAGCACATTGAGCTGTGAACTTGTGAACGCTGGAATGGTAGTCGCATCGAGCGTTAGCCAAACTGTTCCCTAGAATTGTCTCACCTTTTCCAAACCTTGACGGGCGATAATCGTGCGCAGCGCTCACTTGCCTGCCAAACTTTCGCTGCAGATGCGGGCCTCCACGTCAACGCGGCGATGTTCGAGCAGAACGGAAGCTGCGGCTACGTACTGAAGCCCAGAGTGATGTGGGATCGTAGCCACATGATGTATGGCCGCTTCAATCCGTGGGACAAGGATTTCGATGCGCTGCATGCCCTCAGACTTCAAATAAAAGTGAGGAGCATCTTGACTATTCTCGCCCGTCGTACTTAACGACTGGGATACTTGGTGTTTCTTCTTTTCTAGGTGATATCGGGCCAATTTTTGTGCCCGAACGCGTGCATATGCAGCACTCAAGTGGAAATTGAAGTCATTGGCATTCCTGTCGACTGCAACCGCCAAAAAACCTCTATCGTGCAGCGAAATTCCTTTAACCCAAGCTGGGGCACCATCTTCAACTTTCGAGTAAGTTGTTTGATTCTTCTTCTTCTGTTGTTGTTGTTGTTATTTGTTGTTGTTTGGTGTTACTTGTTGTTGTTGTCTTCATTGCTGGTGTTGTTGTTGTTGGTTGTTGTTGTTGTTGTTGTACATCTTTATTTTTGTTTTATAGGCTTTATATGAACCAAACCATGACATGATTTTTCAGCACTTACTAAACACTGATCACAAAAGAAAAATCGCAAATGATCATAAAATCCAGGACAGGAATACGTATTCATTTCAGTGCGCTAAATAACAATAACATATATATGTTTTTATTATTTATTTATTTAAACTTGAGTTCGCCCCTCCTTTCACTAGCGCCAAAGGTGTGTCCAGAAAAATATAACCCCGCAAGCGCTTCGGTGCAGGCTCTACTGGCTCGTGGCTAGAGCAAGTTGTGAAGTGTTCTTTCGGCGCATCGTGCTCCTAATGTTTATCACAGTAAGGCACCCGAGTTCACTAGGCAACGAACGCGGAACCAAATACTCACCGGCCGATTGATTATTACAGAGCGCATTCCGAGTGACGCAGTGTTCGTATCCGATTCCCGACCTGCATGGATTCGGCTGACGTGTTTTAACGCCGCATGCAGGTGCATCACAGTAAAGAAACAGAACGCTTTAAGACTGAGCGAAGGAGAGAAATAGTTCGGCCCTATTTTCAAAATTCCACAATGAAAATCACGTTTCTGGCTCCCTGTGTGCTAGTTTAATCATATCCACTAAGCTATATGCAGTTAGTAAAATTAAAACCTTTAATCTTTGTGTGTGCGTGTGTTTTTGTTTTGCTTTGTTTTTTTGTTTAGAAACGTTACAAGAAACACAGACGGTGATATGACGCTTCATGTCTTCATTTTTGGTCTCTCTTGTCTATCGCCACAACATGCATACCCCCCTTTAAAATTTATATTGCTGGGTTGTCTTTGTTCATGCGTCCATGTGTGCGCGTATATGTGTCTGTGTGTGTGATTTTCTTCGAAAGTTTTGCTAACGCCGTGCCACCTGTATGTTTGCAGGTAACATTCCCAGATCTGGCGTTCTTGCGCTTCACAGTTGTGGATGTCACTACCAGTCACCTCTTATCCCAACGGGTAATTCCACTAAAGAGCCTGAAGCAAGGTGAGCATCTCAGACGACGTGAAGTCGGGAATCCGTTGCGATGTCGGTGCACTTTGCACGCGCATGTTTCTCTGCCGCTCAACTGGGAAGCGAGCGCCTGCCGGTCGGCAGGTTCGCACGTGATGGGGACTGCTTAAGGAAAAAAAAAATGAAAGCCGTTTACAAATCCCTGTAACGCCGAATCGGAGCGCAGCTCTTGAGGAGGAGTAGGGAAGGGTACTGAGGGGGGTCACGTCACCTGCGGGTAGTCACGTGACCCCGGGGGGTCGCGTGATCTCGGGGGAGGGGGGTCACGTGACCTCAGGGGGGGGGGGGTCACGTGACCCCCCCCCCCCCGGTTACACCGACGGCGACGCCGACGCCGACGCCGACGCCGCTCAGGCTGGAAACGGGCCCCTAAGAGCTGCGCTCTAAAAAAGAACAGCAGACACGTCTTGATAACTTTCCTGTGCTTCCTAGGCACTGTGTGTACTGTAAAAGAGCCCCGTGACAGTTGTGCATTCGCACAACTGAAACAGCTCTTCTAAAACCGTACGTGCACATGCGTATTGTCAGACTTGCTGACAGAAAGTTCTACTGAAAGTTCTTCCGATTTCTTCCGCCGCAGTCTCAGGTGTAATACTACATGATTAGAAAAATCTAGTAAGATTCTTACACGCGTGATGAGTGTAAGCGACGACAGTCGTGTCAATATAATTATGTAAAAATAAGTAACCTGCTTAAAACAAGAACAAAAAAGTGAAAGCCGTTTACAACTCCCTGTAACGCCGAATTGGAGCGCAGCTCATGAGGAGGAGGAGGGAAGCGTACTCAGGGGAGGGTATACCCCTCCTCCTCCTCCTCCCCTCATTCTTCGATGTCCTCGGGGGGGGGGGGGTCACGTGACCTAGGGGGGGGGGGGGGGCTCGCGCGGTGCATTATGGGACATTTCCCATAATGCACCGCGCGGTTACGCCGACGCCGACGCCGCTCAAGTCGGAAACGGGCGCCTAAGAGCTGCGCTCTAAAAAGCGATAGAAGCTTCTGTTGTTCAAATCAGCTCCAACAGCCTAATAAATTTATTGAATCATCCGTTCATTCATGCCCTTTATGTTACAACTAAAAATGACAACGATAAGGCAAACGCGGCGTGGTCTCAGTGTACGTCTTCGGCCACAGGAGGAGGAGGAGGAGGCGCAACCGCCGTCAACTTTTCGGGGTATTCTGGTTTCTGGAGACCTGACGCGCTTGGTGCATTTCTTTCAACACTCCGTGCGTGGCACTTCCACAATAATACACACGCTATATACGTCACACACACTTGAAGTGTCGTTAAGTGCAATCCACTTATATCGATAATGAGAGAACTCGAAAATGCAATCGTTATAACCGATTATCGTTGTATCTGGACTAGGAACTGAGCGGTTTCTTGTCTACAAACTCTAGAAACTGATCGTTGTCAGCAGTACGTCGTTATCTTTGGTATCGTTATAAGTGGATTGCACTCAAGTGCCACAGTTTGTAGTGCGGACAACTTTCTTTTTCTTTTCCCCTGTGTCCCATTATGGGTCATATGGCTATTATTCTCTTGCGCTCACTAAATCAGCGGGAAAAAAAATCATTGGCATGGGTTAGCGCACAAGCAAGTGGCAGTAACATACTTGGCGTTGAATTTTACTCTCTTACATTAGCGTTGGAGGTGCTTTCTTTTTTATGCAATGTCTCGTGTAAGTTTTTTTTTTGTACTTGTTGGTGCGTTTGGCGCGTGCTTTTGTCACGTGTCAAGGGAACGAGCTCGCGCAGCTAAACATCGTTTTTTTTTTTTTTTTACGCATTGGGACCAGATTGTGGCTTCGAAACCTTCGTTGGCAAATCGTGCGCTTCCGCTAAAAAAGCACGTTTTAAAGTAAGCAGTCTGGGCTATGGCTGCTTACTGCTAACTGAAATAGGGCATATACAACACCAGCTAGAATAATCAAGGCGTGCGACTCCATGGAACAAGGCCATGAATTGGGCCCGACGCCGAGCGTCCTTCGACGCGTTGATGAGACGCGAAACCCAGCCGAACGCTGACGCAGCATTCGTGTCAACTCTTCTCTCGATCTCACTGCGATGACGTCGAAATTCTATTGCACAGGCTTTGACCGTTCTAGCTGGTGTTTGTACAATCGGGTTCGAGTGAAATGCGAACAGTGACGGAACTTCTAGCGCACCACCGGCGCAGCGTGGAAGCTTGGGTTGTGCTCGCCGAGGTTCAAACCAAAGACAAACACATCGGAGTATGGGACGCACACCCTCGCAGCGCCCTACTCTCCATCCTGCAGGTCAGTTTCTAGAGGCCTCCAGGAGGCGCAGCGTTTGTCGACGGCCACGCGCTCCAGTGTTCGCAGTTCACTCGAACCCGATGAGAGTACAGCACGGTATAGCTTAGGCAATCTTCGTTATTGAGATACCACGCAGGAAATGCTGGACGCCTAAGCTCTTGTGTTTTTAAGTTGCTTTCACCGTAAAGTGGCGCCGTCCAAGGCTTTAACCTCGTGCCAGTAACCGTCACTGCGCTCCAAGCTAAGTTTAGAACAGACCATCGTTTCGTTCTTCACGCCAATGGGTCTAACGGTTGCCGCCCATGCTTGTGCCATGCTTGTGACATGCTTCGGATGACGTATACGTTCCCCTGACAATAAGTATTGCTGGCATCTTCCTGCGCCCGTTCTTACGTGTGCGGAACACCGCAGAGTGTGCAATCGTTTCTCTGTTCTCCTGATACAGGTTATCGGCATATACGCCTGCGCAGCCCTCAAAATCAGCCGCTTTCTCTGGCAACACTGTTTGTGCACTCAACTTGGGAAGAGGAATTTGTGGAGGTGCCGAAGAATGGAGAAGCAGTGGACAGTGGCGCCAGAAAGAATAAAGCAAAGTTGAAAGATCTTGCAGAGAGCTCCCAACGCGAGGGAAAAGACGTAAGACCCAATGAACGCTAATCTCTCGTAAGCTTTCCAGCGTTTATCACCCAAGCGAAAAGTGCCGAGTAGCAGGGCTTTGGACGCATGCGCGGCGTCTCATATGCCGCAAAAGAAAGCTTTTTTTTTTTTATCCCCGGAGAGTGGGGAAATAAAGGGACAGGACTGCAGTTGAAGAACAAATTTCACAGCCCAGTAGGTAGCAGCGTTCATAAGGCCATTATTGGTAGAGTCTATGGCGGTCCAAACTTTCCATTTATGCTTTGAGGCCGTGCATACTGAGTACACTGCACGACGCGGTCTCTTGCAATGAGTTGGTATTTTTCCATATTTTTTTGTACGCCTGTTTTTGAGTGAAAGAGTTAGCAGTCTATCATTCCTGCCTACTTTTTTCGCCGCTTCATGAACTTCTGTATTCAAAGGTATTAAAATATCTGAATCTTCTTTTTTTTTTTTTCCTGCTTTTTACGGGCAGGCAAGAGGTTAATAAAACTGTGAATACCACAGTAGCGGTCTGGAGACAGGCACAATAATGACGACGAGTTCTCTTGCGAACGGTTTAGTCTTGTTTATAATGGCGCGTGATAGAACTGCACTGCAGTTGCGTGCAAGATGCCAGAGCCTGGGTAGCCAAGGACATTTTTCAAATGCCAACTTCGATCGCGGTATGCGTTAACGCACTAAAGTGATTGGCAAAGCCACGATACTTCATAGATGCTCCAAATGCTAACAACTTTGGAATAGCGAGCGCGTTAGACATCGTGTTCATGGACCTAGCAAACTTCGCCATTCGGACCCCAGTGACGCTCGCCTTAGTGGTTTGTTAGCCAGCTCGCTCCGCAATACCGTAACAGATAGCTATCCGGTTGACGCCTGAGAGCAGTCCGTGCGGGCGCTTCAGGGGAGTGCCTGCCCGCCTGCCCACCTGCACCCCCCCCCCCCCCCCCGCTCACGTTTTGTTCTCGCCATTGCAGAATTCCCTCGGGAGCACCGTTCGGACCAAGCGCAGGATGTTCTTCCTAGTGGTACACGGCGTGGTGCCCGATGAAAAGAAGACAATTTTAAAGACTAGTCAGGACAGCACATCGCGGGATGTCATCGCCCAAGTAAGGATCGAGAGGACGACCACGCCTCCAGAAGCATGAACTTGAAATTGATATCGGTGTATCGGTGTCTCAATGCTGCAGGCATTGCACAAGGCTAACAAGGCACACGAGAGCGTGGACAACTACGTTCTCATGGAAGAGGTCCAGAAAAGCTGGGACAAGAGGCAGCAAGAAAAGTCAACAACGCAGAGGATTCTAGAGGATGATGAGTGTCCCCTGATGGCTCAGTCACGCTGGCAAGGAGATGGTCGCTTCATACTCAAGAAAGTCGCTGACGTGAGCAGTCTCGCAGTTCCTCGTCTAGAGGTGGGACAACGTAATAAAGTAGTACCGGGAGCAACCTGGATGTACTATTGACCTGGGAGGCCGTATTGAATAGCGTAAAAGCGAGCTTTTTCTTCATTCCTTGTTTCCTATGGGCGATGTGGTATTCTCTCGTGTTCGTAAAAAAAAGATCAAGCATCCTTAGTGCTGAGCTAAGATTAAACAAAGACTAGGAACACAAACTCTTCAATTTTGAAGTTGCTTCCACCGCACGGCCTAAAACGCTGAATGACAGACTTCGTCAACATCATACCGCACCCGAAGCCTTTACTGCGCTCGAAAACTAGAAAAAAAAAAAAAAAAAAAAAACTTCCTAGTAATAATATTCGCAGCCGACGTTTCACTCTTAGCAAAACTCCAACTGCAAGTGTCTCTCTTTTTTTTTTTTTTTTATTTTAAGAATGGCCAGGCTTCGTTGTCTTCGACGCCTAACTCTGCTGTTCCACTGGCTGCGCGGATATGCTGGGAGTAGTCTATACCTTGGGTTTCTTTAGCTAATCGGAGAGTAGAAGTTGCAAATTTAATTTACAGTATCCATATGTGCTGAGCAACTGGCTCTAAAAAAAAAACGTGAAAAATAAATAATGGACGGCTTTTTGTTTTTTTCTCCACTGCATCAGGATCCGAGCACGCGGGCTTGGATGACTACCATCAAGTCGTCGAGCAACAAGGAAAGGAGAAAGCAGGATTCCGAACTGGGCGAGACAGGGCTGAGCGAGTGGAACGCTGGAGACGAAACCTACCTCGTTTGCGTCTACAATGTGTCTTCGGACCAGCCGTACGCCATCTTGAAGGCCCCGGTCAGCAGCACAGCCCAGGACATTATTGCCCAGGCACGTCGCTTCACTTTTCTGAGTTCTCTGGGTATGTACAGGGTGTTTAAAATAGCGGCCGGGCTCTTTAAATTGACCGCAAAAGTCGATTTCTTATCCTATCGTGCTACGATTTTGTGCATCATTGCCCACAGGTGGTGCATTTTTTCTATAAAATTTGCATAGAGCGAACTTACCTGAGGAAAAAGTAAAAAAAAGAAGAAGGCTTAACTCCTATGGAAACGTAGCGAAGCCACCGGTCTTCAAACTATAGGGCGTCGTTTGGCGCGGGAGACAAATGATGGCGCAAGCGGTCGCGACGCCAATTGTCGCCAACGGACCAGCCTACGGCGCCAAGAGCCGGCGTCAAATAGCAGACGATATTTTCGACTCAAAACAACGCGAGCTTTTTCGATGTTAGTTGCCAATGCATGATTTTATCTTCTTTACTAATAAAACACAATGAATGGGCACATAATCGATTAAAAAAAGTAATTTGTCAAGTTATTATGGCTTTTTTTTTTTTCGGGGTACTTATGTCGTCTGCTTTGCTGTTCCTTGTTGTTACGGCGCCTGTTTTTGGTTCTGTGATTGTCGCTGGCCTGCGGAACGCGCGCCGCTTTTGAGTCGAAAAGATCGTCTGCCAATGACGTTGGCTCTCGGCGCTGTATGGTCGTCCGTTGGCGGCAGTTGGCGTCGCTACCGCTTGCGCCATCTCTTGTCCCCCGTGTCAAACGGCGCCCTATTGTTTGAAGACCGGTGGGCCATGGCTTTGCTGCGTTTCCATAGGAGTTAGGCCTGTCTTCTTTTTTTTACTTTTTCCTCGGGTAACTTTGCTCTTTGCAAATTTTATAGAAAGATGCACCACCTGAGGGCAACGTTGCACAAAAGCGTGGCCCGGTAGGTTAAGAAACCGATTTTTGCAGTCAATTTAAAGAGCCTGGCCACTATTTGAGACGCCCTGTAGAATTAAAGTCACTGGATCCGTGGAAAGTAGCGCCAAGCTCCCCGAATGGTCGCCATTTTGGTCCATGGAATGAACGGTTTCTCTTTGATCTGTCCATTCTTGGTGAAGGGCGAGCCGATCCAAATTCGCGGTGACAGGTTGCTTTATGGAGACATTTCTTGTATACCGAGATTTTGTCATCCACACACCAGCGAAACAAGCGCACATCTTCGCACCACCACCACATGCGGCGTCAGTGCTTGGCGGCATTGACCCCGTAAGTGATGACGTTACAACATGCCGCTCTGCTCCAGACAAACCGTTGCTAGGGTCGTTGTCATTGAGAAATGCATGGGTGCTCGACGTGAGGTTAGAAATTGCGTGATAAAAAAGTAAATATTTTTTGTACGCATAGTGTTTTCTCAAATCTAATCATGAACAGTTTTTCTATCGTCTCACTACCATAAAGCGATGGCAAAAGCCCGTAATAAAGTTTCACAGCCGGTTTTGCCTTGCTAGCAGACGACAGAATGGCTTCACGGGTCCAGTGGTTCTTCCTGAGGGAGTACGCGACTGCGTTGAATGAAGTTGGTGACGATCGACGAAACTTCTATCCTCGGGCTCAACCTCCTGCGGGATTTTGGAAGCGAACAGTGCCCGTACACAGCTTAGATCGACACTCGAGGTGCGCGAACGCGCGAACGCCTTCCCCGTGGAGCTCGCTTCCGCAATATTGGAGAAGCTGAAAACACTGTGAAGCCGAATCACGTACGACGACGGCGTGAAGTGTACCAAGGTCGAAGTGCAGCACACGTTTTAAGAATTTCTGACAGCGCAGTTGCTTCAGGGCACATTTCTGTGATCAAACGAACTGGCCGTAACCGATTAGAATATATATATATATATATATATATATATATATATATATATATATATATATATATATATATATATATATATATACACATGGTGAGAAGGTTAAATGGGCCGGTTGGACTTGACACGGAAGTTGAGAAGTTGCAGTAAGGGCCTTTAATTCACCTACGTTTCAAGCGGGGACCGCTTTTCTTCAGGGTGGGAGAGAGAGAGAGAGAAAATCGTTTTATTAAAATAATAATGAAATTCGGAGAGGGTTAGTTTAGCCGATAAGTTGACATTGTTCGCTCCGAGAAAGGAAAAAAAATGTTAAAAGAATAGATGAAGAGTGCAAAGAAAGAGAAGAATAAAGAGAAAGTTGAGAGGTGTAAAGTTATTCATCACGAAAGCACTTTCGTATGTTCACTGCTTTAGAAAATGCTCTGCTTCTTATAGTTGACCTTGTAGCCCAGTGGCTTGAAGGAAGGTCCGGAATATCCTTTGAAGTAATTTCCTCCGAGCTCGGGTACCAGAAGGGAAAATAATGCTTGCAATGTCTTCTACGACGAAGTGATGTCTTTTTAACTGTGATGCGAGGTCTTTCCTTTTCTTTTCGAATTTCTGGCAGTCTTCTAGGATATGGTTAATATCTTCGGTGACACCGCATACGTTATAGGAGTCTGTATCGCGTTTTTTCCAGCGGTGAAGCAATTTTCCTGTACGCGCGCTTCCTGTACGTAACGGAAGAGAAGTGTGGCTTCTGCTCGTCGAAGACTTCCTGTTAGACAGGGTTGAATAGGGGAGGAATGCGTTATTGATATATCAAAGATGTGTTCATTTATAATTTGGTAATATTTTCTAGGATCACCTTGCGTCTTGATGCTAATAGGAAGATTGTGTGCGTTGGAGGCAAGTTGGTCTGACTTCTCGTTTCCATGTAATCCGACATAGCTGGTACCCACTGAAATGAGATTTCGAAACCATCTTCTTCTAGTGATCTTGAAATTGATTTGGCCGCCATTACTACTTGTGACATTTGTCGAGGCCTTTGGAGCTGTTGAAGAGCAGCACGAGAATCCGTTAGGAGAATAACTGCCTGTGGTGTTAAGTTTTTTTATCATGTGAAGGGCTTCTAGGATTGCATGCATTTCAGCTGCTGTTGATGACACAAACTCATCTAGTCGCCCACTCCATTCGAGCTGTAAAGTAGGTGCATAGTAGGCAGAAGTGCTACTTCTTCGACTTCGATTTACTGATCCGTCCGTGTACACCTCCAAATGGTTGGCGTATCTTTTCGAAATGTATTCATTAGTTTTTAGTTTCATGACAGTTGAGTTGGCGCTGAACTTGTTGTGTATACCGGGAATGCGGCACTTACATTTCGGGCAGTAAACATTCCAGGGGGGAGCTGATAAAGAGTTGTCTTTGTCTTGCAGTAACTCTGGTGTCCATCCAAGATGTTGTAGAGTTTGCGTAGAAATAAAAAAGCGAGAGTGTTGTCTGGCTCGAAGTCGGCGTAGGAGGCTCCTTCCTGCAGACGTAGTGGACAAACGAATTTGTTGGGAAAGAAGGCATTTGGTAGCCATAAGTGGTAGAGTCAAAGCTCGGGCTTCTCGATATACATTTTCGTTCCTCGTTGATCTTGGCACTCCTAGGCAAGTACGTAGGCCTTGTCGATGTATGCGCTCTAAAGATTGAGAGTCTGTCGGCGATAATCTAATGAAAGGTAATGAATATAGAATACGACTGACAACAAGGGATGAGTGGAGACGTATCATAGAGCTTGGCGAGTTTCCCCATGATTGTCCTGCCACTCTACGAATGGCATTTCTTGCTGTCAGCGTTGAATTTATCACGTTAGTGGCTTGCGCATGCCAGTTGAGGCGGGAGTTCAGTGTGATTCCTAAGAATTTGTGCTGTCGAACACGGCGCAGGGGGACGTTATAAATAGTCAAAGTAATTTTTGTGCTTCGCCGGTTTTTTCCAGGAAAAGGTATGAACGCAGTTTTCTCTTGTGAGAACTGCAGACCACAATCAAGTAGATAATTGCTCGCTCCCGTAATGGCTGCTTGGGCGGCGTTTCGAAGACCATGATGTCGATGTGCCGAGACCCATATGCAAATGTCATCTGCGTACAGTGATATATTGATGGGGAGAGTGTACTTAGGGAGGGATGTTGGTAACCTGGCCAAGACGATGTTAAAAAGGATTGGCGAGAGTACGCTTCCTTGTGGTAGTCCTTGAGCACAGTTGCGAGATGTACTAAAAGACGCGCCTAGTCTAACCTTGAACGATCGAATCGTGAGGATGCCTTGTACAAACGCCTGGACTTTTCCCGTGATGCCGACGGTTGTCAACCTTTCAAGAACAACTGCTGGATCAACGTTATCATATGCCTTTTTAATGTCAAAAAATACCGCTAATGTCGATTTGTTGTCGTGTCGATTCTGTTCAATTGAACTTAATAGATCTACGATGCCGTCTTGAGAGGATAGCCCATGCCTGAATCCTGTCATCTCGTGTGGTAATAAGTGATTGGTTTCAAGCCACCAGGTGAGTCGAGCGTGTATCATTCTTTCCATGAGCTTCATAACACAAGATGTAGGTGAGATGGGTCGGTAGGACGATGGCGCGTCGCGTGGTTTACCAGGCTTGTGGATTGTAATGACCCAAGCTGTTTTCCAATTTTCTGGTATATCATTTGTTTCCCATATATAGTTAAAAAACTTGAGAAGTTCTTGTAGGCGCCCATTTGGTATGTTTTGCAGCATCTGGTTTGTTATTCCATCCTGTCCTGGAGCGCTTTTTCTTTTACTCTCTTTTAAAGCCGAAAGAAGTTCTTCGATGTTGAAGGGAGCATCTAATGGGGACGATGTAGTAACAGCGTCATACGTCCTGACTGTCTTCTTATCGATTAAAGAAAATTGGTCTGCAAATTGTTCTGCGGCCTCCTCTAGGCTCGTGCCCACACGAAACGCCATCGATGCGTGTGATAGGTGGAGATCTCGTTTGCCCATGAAAACATCAAGGATTCGCCAAATTTGGGTTCCAGGTTTATTTGCATCTTCTGATGCACAGTTGTCGTCCCAGTGTTTACGCATTGTTTTTTTTTTCGCATATCGTGTTGTTGCTGCATTGATTCTGTTTAGATCGGTTTTGTTTGCGCTGGAATACTTCCTTTGGAGTTTTAGTTGGGCCTGTCTTCTTGCTGCACAAAGAT